TTGCCCTCCTTTTCAGCCTTATTACATTAAACTAAGAGGTATTAGTATTTTTTTCTGGAATCCTCATGTCTTAAAGAATAAGTACATGAATTTTCATGAAGATTGTTCAGTAAACATAAAAGTTATAAATTATTTTCTAAAAGTAAGCGAGTTTTATTCCGCGACATCCGATGGTTAGCACTAGCGGAAATGAAAAACTTTAAAGGGCTATAAAAAAAAAACGGTAAGAGATATTAAGTTAAAATTTGGTATGGTGACTTATCTTTATGGTTAGAACAAACAAGCCAAGTTTCATCAAATTCTGAGATGGTGGGTGAGATGGCCTGGTTGAACTGATATGGAATTACCCTTTCCTGGTGTAGTTGGTTTCATTTTTTAATTTTATTTCAACTGACGATCCATTTTGTTTGATGTAGGCCTACTACTATTTGTTTACAAACATTATCCGTATCAATATAGGATAATAGTTAAACTAGTGTAGCCTACATGTTGCTTGAATTCGAGCAATTGCAAAGTATTATAGGAGTTATTTCAAAACGAATAACAGTCATATTTACAATGAATTTAAAAGAGTCAACTAAAAGATTACCGGTGTGTAACTCATGGAGATACTCACGATGTATATAACAGTAATCAACATTTCCTGTAAATATTGTATCATATTTCATAGGCCTAACCTGGTATTGCTTTTTAATGTTTTCTACAAACATTTCTTGACTTATAGCCATATAAGGTTGTCCATGTTAATCTTCGTCCCCAAAGCAGAATGGTTCCTACGTGTCTGCAACGGCCTGTGAAAACCTCAAAATGTGTCCGCAAGCGCTAAAACTAAAAAGCTAAATAATGACTTATATACCAGTATATATATATATTCACTCTTTTGGGCTACTAGTAATATAGTTAAATAAAATAAGTAAATTTCAATAACTTGTATAGCCTACTTTTAAAACAAAAAACTAAATAAAAAACTATTAAGGGGTAGGCATAATCAGGTTATTTAAATATTATTATAATTATTTAATATATATTATTATATATTATTTAATATCGGGAAATTCCGAAACAAAATCTCTTTGCGCTCGATAAACGATTAATAATTTCCCGAGTTTTATCCCATACACATTAACAAATTAGACGCATAAATAGTCATAAATCAATTGGAAAGTTAGTTAACTCAGCATTTAGCTTAGTATTTTATTCACACTTACCGCTAACTTTATTAAGAAGTTTCTGAATTTGATCTGAATCAAACGACAAACTTGTTCCACATGACGTAGGCGTTGAATCCAGTGGTAGACCTACAAGCTGTCTTTCATTGCTTTGTGAGGTAGGCCTAGACAAACTTGTTCCACATGACGTATGCGTTGAATCCACTGGTAGACCTTCAATCTGTCTTTCATCGCTTTGTGAGGTAGGCTTACTAGAAGTGCTTGGACTGTTAGTAGACGTCGGTTCATCTTCGCTAAGTTTAATTTTTTTCTCGGTAGATCCATGAAAAAAATTTGATATATTCTTACTAGAGGCACTTGTAAATTTTACAGAGTCACCAGGATGATGTCTCAGAAAATGAGTTTTTAAATTTTTATGAACAATTTGCTCGAAACAAACAGAGCAGATAACACGCTCACGAGAAGGCCGAGAATACATTGTATATTTCACTCATTCGCAAAACCCATTACTCAAATAATGCCAACATTAGTTATACATTTTACAGTAACAAAGGTCACGCACCCACGCACCACAGAGTTAACACAATAGGGCTGGAATGCCTTTTCTCTTCCGAAATCAACAACGTAATGGCGTTTTTCTATTTTGCAACACTATCGCCAGATACGGTACAGTGCGTCTTCATAGCTCAGTCATCCGCGCGCACTTGTAAGGTGGAGGGAGGGTGGTTGATGTCTGTCAGGTGACTGCGCCGGGCCAATGGGAGAGCGGTAGGAGGGCGTGGCCTGCAGACAGATACCGAGCGGAGCGGCAGACGGCATCCGGCTGTCGAGCAGCGCGGTTCTCTCCTCTTCGACGTGATGTGTGTAGTAGCGTGTTCACTCGCGCCCGCTTTTCTTTTACTTTGCGATATTTTTTTTCGTTTAACCGGTAAATTTTGTCCGCGGACAAAGTATTTTTTATCTATTTTTATCGAGATATTAAAAAAAAATAATTTCAAGCTCGTAAATGTGTCCGCAGGCCCGCGTTTCTCGGCGTTTCATGTCCGCGACAATGTCGCTCGTTGTTCTGCTTTGGGGATCTTCGTTATTGATAAACCTAAAGCATTCCGGCCGGTTTTCTCCTTCTCAAAATGCCTCGCTGTACAGGCAACACAGGTCATTGATAGAGGGCCAATTGAGAACGAAAATTTTGTTCTCGTTTTGGGGTAGTGCTAGGGCGTGCCTAAATAGTAACCTAATAGTTGAGATTGTCCAGGGTCAGGTGCTGACTGTAATGACTTAAGCCACTGTTCTGTAGCTGCGGTCATTATCACGATTACACCTCCTGTCTATGTTTCGTTGTCGTCGCGTCGGAGGCATTTAAAAGAAAAAACAACAAATATACAAATTATAGGTACACAAAACGATGAATGCACAAATTTAAGTTACAATCATGCTAACACGGTCCGTCATAGCGACACAAAACAACGATAAATACACAAATTTAAGATACAACCATACTAACACGATCCGTCTAGGGGGTTATGTTTACACAAACTCAAATAGCCTATTAAATAAATGTACTCAATGTGTTTGATTGAATTGAAAATTAAATAACAGCAATTAAATTATACAGCTGATCAAAATGTAAACAATTGTTCTTCATAAGGATAACATAAGAACTTTCTAAGCCACTGGGGCAGAGCCCAAGGGACTTTTTCAAAAATGTAAGGCCAGTTTGCAAATCTACGTGACACGCTCTTTCCAATGAGACGTCATTCGATAAAATCGGTGGGTAAGAAATGGCGGAGGAATTCAACCGACAAACTTTGTGTTCGCGTATTAATTATAGGCCTATACCGTATATGCGATGTGTACAGTAGTTGCAAGATGGCTAATATTAAATAACAACTATAACATTTTGATACTTAGACATAACTCAGGCAACAAAAACAAATAACAAAGATATAATAATTAACAACAATAACTAGCAAAAACAATAGCAATGACGATTGCCCTATGTACTAACCATAAATAGGGAAAACAGTCATGTTTAAAAAATAAATATAGCTTAAATATGTAAATAATACTGTAGAGAATAACAACCTAACAAAATCACAGATTTTGACTAAAGACGAGCAATTATGAAAGACTTTGTTTAATATTTGCAAGGAACATGCAGTGTAAATGTACTGAGTTTTATAAAGTTTCAGTTGGTTACCTAAAGAGGTTCTAGTTAACTAGGGTTCAAGCTTATAAAGTAGGAGAACTAAGTTTTGTCATCTTTACTGACTTTTCAACCATAAGTTACTATTTACCAATTAATTTTTATAAGTACCTTAAGGTAAAATTAAATTGATCAGACTATACATAACTTTTTGTGATAATTGCTACTAGGCTAGTTTGTGACAAGATCGTGACTTTTCATTTGGTGATGGGCACACTGGGGCTTTTTACAACTTTGATCCTCTTAAACTAAGTTAAAATTAGTTATGATTCAAAACCGAATCTCAAATCTATAAGGGCTGGGACTGGGAAAATTTGTGTTTTGAGATTTGATCAGCAACTTTTCAAATTAAAAAATAATAGTGATGAAACAAGTAAATTATGTTTTATTCTGATTTTTTGAAGGTGATCTCATTTTTTGCTAATGTTAAATGCTTTTAAGTTAGGCTAGGATTTTTATTACTGTAATTAATTTTCATATTTTTCATGTTCACTATTTTGATATGTTTTTTACCATATTCCATCTGTGATAATGTTAGAAATTTTGTTTTAAGTTAGGCTAGGATTTTTATTACTGTAATTAATTTTCATATATTTCATGTTCACTATTTTGATATGTTTTTTTTACCATATTCCATCTGTGATAATGTTAGTAATTTTGTCCCTCTATGTTCATTGTACACCTGTGATAACCATTAGCCTTTTTAAGAAAGACCCACTATTATTCATAATTTAAGTTTGTTAAGTTTGCCTATTTTTAAAAAATTATTTTAAACCTGTTAAATGTTCAATAAGGGCAGCCTATATTTTGGAATTTTCATGTCAAATATTAATAATTATAAGTATTGCATCTTATATCTTTTACAATAATAATGACGATGTCAATTACAATAATGTATTGTTTAAAGACTGAATAAATGACTATTCTATTGACTATTCTATTGAACTGTGACAGATTTAATAAGCTATACTGTATGATATCAACGTATGTACACAGTATGGTTTCATATTGCTATTTATTGAACACAAATAAATATTAGCCTAACCACTAAATGTTTGATTTCATCTCATATTCATGGTAGGCTATTATGGTCAAGTGTCTAATACCTTTCAGACTTAATTACTTTATAATTTTTATTACCTATATTTTTTGTTGTAATTTTAACCAGGCAAGTAAAAAAGTCTTGTTTTGAGTTTAAGATTTGAAATTAAGAATTTTATTTTGTATTGTTTCAGTTTTTTTTCCAAATTCCAAATTTATGTTTTTGAGCATCGCTAGTTGAGATCAAGGGGTAGCAGCTAGCTTGCCTTAGATAGGAAGTAATGATAGTGCATAGAACCCTCAGAAAATACACAATATTTCAAGTGATATAGTGAGTGTCGAGTGTAGACCAAGGAAGGGTAGGCAAAGTTTCCTGAGTCCTCTGTAAGCTCTATGGCCAACTCATAGGCTACTTCTTCTTAGGTAAACTTAAACTAGCTGCTAGCCTATATCCCTTTATTCTGCAAATCCAAAGCCTAGCCCAGAGCATTAAAAGAAAACTAAGTTAAAATTAAGTCTTCTTCAGGTGTCAGTTCAAGTGAGTGTTTAATGGTTGTTTATTTTAATGATCCTGTATTTTCCAGATTGTAGTTGTCACTGAATTCTGCAAGCGTGATCTTCATTATATTCTGTCCAAGCAAACGTACCTATCAGAAGAAGTAGCCCTTCCAATAATTTGTGACTTAATCTCAGCCTTATACTATCTTCATTCTAATCGAGTGCTGCACAGGTACTGGCATTTAATTCTTAAAATATGGATACTCAGGCCCAAGGTTTGCATGTGATGCGCTTTATGGCCAGAGGGACAATTGCACCCCTCTCCACCTACCTTGTGGGGGAATTTTTCTCTTCCTTGCACCCCTAACAAACCCAAAACCTCTTGCATATTTTTTACCCAGCCTATTTAATAAAGTGGCCCTGTGGATACTTAAGACATTATACAATGGTTAGATAGGTAGAGCTAATAATAAACTGAACACAGGAAACACTTAGGCCCATTTGCCTTGAAATTCATAACATAAAAAGTAACGAGGTGGAGTTTTTAGAAGTAAATATTGATTGGTCTTCATTGTAACAAATAATAGAAAACCCAACATTTGCATTTGTTGACCATACAATTTACAGTGTTTAGATTTTGATAACGCTATTTATTTTATTCTGCCATTAAGCTCATAGAATTAAACCAAACTGACCAATTTCAGAGTGTACAATTGTTGTCTTCATTGTAGGGGTTTAAAAATCTGCATAATTCTATTCAGCATCTTTACTCTGTTTGCAGAGCTTGGATAAATCATCTAGTTTTCAATGCTAGCTAGGCTCATGTATATTTTTATTTTTATACGTTTCAGAGACCTGAAGCCACAAAATGTTTTGATTACGGAAGAAGGTGTGGCTAAACTTTGTGACTTTGGGTTTGCTCGGAGTATGAGCAGAGGAACACATGTCCTAACATCTATCAAGGGAACACCTCTGTATATGGCACCTGAATTGATCGAGGAGAGTCCTTACGATCACAACGCTGACTTGTGGTAAGTTGATACTCCTGACTTGTAAAGGTTAGTGCACTTCAATGGAACCACCATGTTTTTTAATGTAAATTAATTCAGTTGAGGTAAATTGCAAAATGTCATATCAGCAATTATTATTTAGGACAAAATACTTTATTTTTAGATGTTGCCGCAGTTATATGCGTTTAGGTTTATTTTGTTTGCAACTATCCAAAGACTGCAGCATCGCTTGTCTTTATGTGAAAAAATCCTTTACTTAGGTATTTTACACAATTTTTACTGCTTTAATTATAATAGGTCAGAATTTTTCAATAAATACGATTAAAAATTATTCTGCAGACAGATTGAACATAGTCTGTAGATTTATTCTTTTGTATTGATTTTTGCTAACTAAAATTTCGACTATGGTTGTACTGGTATCTCAATTTATAAATCTTCAAGATCGTGTATTATTTACAATAGACTTACTTGTGTCACATTAGCTTATGTACATGAACATGTGTGTCAGGTCCCTAGGGTGTATTATCTACGAGATGCTAGTGGGCGCTCCACCGTTCACCACCAACTCTATTCTGCAGCTGGTGCGCATGATCCGCTATGAGCCTGTACACTGGCCACTGTACTTGAGCCCTCAGTGCAGAGACCTGCTACAAGGGTTGCTACACAAGGATCCGTCCCACAGACTGTCGTGGCCTAGACTGCTGAAACACCCCTTCCTACAGGGGAAGGTCAGCGACTTATCTGCTTCTGGTGAGTGGTTCAAATCAATAATGTTGTGAATCTAAAAAGTTGATTTAAGGTTATTGTTAACTACCACATTATTTTACTGAAAATATTCTTAGGAAATCTGGTTTAGATGAATGAGAAAGAATAAAATGAAAGAGTCTTAAAGTAAAAGGAATAAGAAACAGAAAAAATTTTACACTATGCATAAAAATTAAAACATTTTACTGTATCTGCCAGCATTTTCAACCAAAGAATATTTGAGTTAGGAAGATAAATGCCCTTAGATAAAATGTTGGTCAGAAAGTGCCTATTTTAGGTTAATATTAAGTGTTCCATGTTCGAGGTTAATATTATAATGTCAAAATCCAGAACTTTGAGGTGTAAGGCTTGCAACCCTAAATGTCAGATGTAAAAAGAATTGCCCATAAGATTGTGCACTTTTCATACAGTTGGTGCACACTTTTCTGTGAATAGCTCATCTTAAGGCAATATATTTTTCCTACAATATCCAATTTGCTTAATTTGCTGTAGGAGTATCTCTGCCTCTTACCAAGGAACTGAGCGCATCCCAGGCTCTAGCTAAGGAATCTCAAAAGCAAGATTTAGTCCACAAGGCTGAAGTAGCTAATCAGTGAGTATTTAATCGATTTGACTGTGGCTAAGTAATGTTCAGTATTGATGTCATTGTTACATGAAAAAAAACGTGTACAGGAAACCAGCCCGCAAAGCATCTTTTATTTCTAAAATTCACTGATCCTTGAGTTTTCCACTGTAAAATATAGCTTGAATCTTCTTTTTGCATTATTAATGTTGTATTCTAATGTACAGCAAACTGACTGATTTGGATTTTTTGAAGAGATAAGGTTCAGCTTGCTCACTCAAGGAAATTAGAGTCCATGGGCTATTAGATACACAATAAAAATATAACATTGATATTTTTTCCCACAAACTACTCACTGAAGAAATCCTACAATCGAGCAATCGAGCTAAATAGCAGTGCTTTACTTTGTTAAGCCTTTTTCACACGGGGCGAGTTTACAAGCTACTCACCAGCGTTAAAGAAGCCGGCGAGTTGGCGAGTGCGACTGTATTCGTTCACACGGAGCTTGTCTATAATATAGTTCTATATTATAGAAATATAGGTTTCTATAATAATATAGTAATATAGGTTAGAATTATAGGTTTTGCCACACGTTATAATTTTAATTTCAGAGGGCTGCCACAAAAGATACAACATATATTGGATAAGGAGAAGAAGTTATTAAGGGGTGATGGTCTGACTGCCATAGATCTGGAGACATTGGAACAGAAGCTGAGTAGACTACAGACTGTGGAGCCACAAGTAACGGAGCCTGAGGTGACGACCGTGTCTGAGGCAACACAGGATGACCCAGTGAGTAAATTGACAATATACCATTCAACTGCAAAAAGCGTTAATGTGCCGTGAACTTTGCGGTTCAAGATTAAATATTACAAGAGGCTAATTCAGTTTCTCTTTTCCCCAAAACTTTCACTACCTACCAACTTTTACTATTAAGAGAAATTGTCGATTGTTGATACTTAGAGATTTGGAATATAATAGCAATTCCAGAAACTACTGCTATCATGACAAAATTGTATCCACTGCATTTGCAGTTTTCAAGGCCACACTAAAAACCAGGCTGTAATGCTCGTCTAGCATGGCGTCACGATAGAAGACGGCAATGACGTATTTTTGCCGTTTGTGATCAGCTGCTATATAACCTTAACTACGTCATTGCCGTCTTCTATCGTAACACCATGATTGACGAGCATTACGGCCTGTTCTTTTTAGTGTGGCCTTGACTCTTCTATGACCACTGTAACTCTGCATGTACACAGCATATGTTTCATTACCCTTATTAACACCTACAAATTATGTGCAAATTACTGCTAAATCACAAATTTTATATCAAGTTTGATTTAACCCTTTGGGGAAGGAGTTAATGCTCTGCCTGCAGCACCCTCTGTCAGCAATTAATTTTACCGAATTTGTAGACTTTTCTTCTAACTGTTAAGGAAAGAAATCCTTAGGTAATAAATTAATACTTCTTTCACCATTGTGTTCACTGTAGAATTGTCTACAAAAAAAGTGGTAATTGGATAGTCAAAGTGTAAAAAATAAAAAACAAAAATAAAATTATAAAGATTATAAAATAAAAATTAAAAAACAATTTTTTTGAAAGTAAACTTGATTTACAAATTCTAAGATTAATCCAGACACCAAATGACACTACTATTACAAAGTTCAATTGATTCCCTACGTAGAAAAATCACAAGTTGTGTACTTTTTTATAAGCAATAACATAGAAAAAAACTGTATGTTTACCTTACCGCAGCTGATTTTTGGTGATATCTGGTTTCCATGGCGACACAACATTGTTATTCGCAAAAATAAAAGAAGTAAATACGCAAAACGAAGCAAGATATTTATAAACATAATAAAAGTAGGAAGAAACAAAAAAGGGGGAATTATAATAATAAAATAACTAATGGCGCCGCGTAGCGGTGACATGAGCGGCACTCGTAAGTCAGCCACTGGGCCTGCATCGGCCATACGAGTAACGCTCGTAAGTCGGCGCCAATGGGTTAAGTTCCTGATTGATGAGTAAACTTATATGACACACTCTATACTCTTGGTGAAACTGGAACAGAACCTTAGGACTATTTTATTTTAATAATAAATGTGTTTGTGTCCACAGCCCAGTGAGACTGACAGTGAGCGGATGGCTACTCCACTAGAGGCGGAGGAATGGTTAGTGTTTCTACAACAGAGCATGATGGAGGTTATGCAAGGAGATGTGGAGAGTATGTCGGAGAAGAGTTTCATCACTATGGTTACCAATGCACTCACCAACCACGGCGCAGCGCCCAAGATCACAGAGTATATCGCTTGCCTGCTAGCGCTGCCGTACGTAGCACCGGGCGTCACAAAGTCTGAACTCCGTACGATTACCAAGGTAAGTGTTAAGTATTCAATGCTTGATTACCGGTGTATTTTCTTGAAACCTTTGAGCCTAGTGATTGTTTATTGAATTAATAATTCTTGGAGGTTATCACTTGTCCCCTCTTATTATTAACAAAAAAATCTGAATAGTTCTTCTTGGTGGATAAGTAATACGAATCAAAATGCATGATTTGGGGAGGAACCCTGAAATAATTCACCCATTCTGTAAAGTTGCACCTAATGTTTATTTTAGATTTGCTGCACCCTCAAAACCCTGTCCCAGACATTACTTTTAAGTCGCACACAACGTCTGAATCAGTTACCGAATGTATAAAATTGTCCTAAACTTGAATTTAAGTAAAACTGTTTAAGTGTTTTTCAATACATTGCTGCTGTGGAAATCAATTACCACTAGGCCTATTGTAATTCTAAAACTCTGTATCTGATAGAATTTTAAGAAAAGTTATCATGCCAGAATCTCAGCAAAGTCGTGATCATCTTCTGCAATGCAGCGACCTCCGTAAACATCGTGATATTTTCCTGCAAATGTGGTTTGAATCTATCACTCAAAAATAAGTAAAAGCTTTTTATAAAAAAAAATCTTTTTATTTAGAAATTACACCTGAAAATAGCGAGTATAAGGTATATATAGGCTAATATTTGATCATCAGTTCTCGTATCCTACCAATAAAATTTTGAATTTAAATCTGTTCTGGAAATTTGAGATTTAGCTTTGACACATCTCTTGTTTTCATTAGTGACCACTCTACGTTTTACTTTGTTTTTAATATGACGTGTCAAAAAAGAATTCTCTTTCCAATCAACTATTGTTGCAGGTGTACATAGAAGTGAAGGTGGTGTCTAGTCTGATGTTTGCACTCAAGCTGTTGACCAATCGTGCCGGCTGTTCTGCCAGTCATGACAGTGTATCGGAGCACAGCAAAGTGACAGTTGATCAGCTGTTAGCTCTAGAGAGAGTGCTGGTGCTAGTCAATCAGCTGGTACACTCAGACCAGGTGTTCCTCAGTCAGTTCTGTGATGTTGTGGCATTGCTACATCTCGCTCCTAGACTGCATTTGCTGTTAAATTTCCACAAGTATGTTTGTTTGTGTTTGTTCCTTCTAAAATAGTTTTAGTTGATTAGATTATTTGATCTAGTTTACTCCGGGCCAGTTGAATTAGAGCAGGACTTACTACTCTTGATTGAACTGTTTTTAGGAAGTAGGCCTATGTTGAATTTTACAGAAGAACGTATAAAACATACAAAACCTACCATCTATCTGGTATTTTAGATACTAAGCAACTAGTGGGGTTTAATTACTATTTTAAGAGGTTAGTGTCTCATTTTAACCTTGCATCTTCTATGTAGAGCTCTGGCTTTTGCCTGAAGCATTGAGTTAGCCTTTACAGTACAAGAATGAACTGTACTGATTGTAAGTTATTAGTAAGAGCACTGGGATACACACCTACAAAATTGCTTCTTTAGACTCTTAAGCCAACGCTCTACCAACAGAGCCACTGACTCACCAAATTCAAATTGTAAACATTTTGGGGTACCTTTTTGTTGTCATGACAAATCAATAGTTACTACTAAAAACTCCACTTCGATTAGATGTGATAATTTTACAAGATGTGGCCCTAGGAAGTAGGAAGGTTTTATGAATATGCTTATGTGTGTAAGCCAGGTTCATAATTATTAACCTTTAGCCTATTTATATACATTTCTGGCAAGCCGGTTCTGTAGTGCCTACATTCACCTGGAACAAAGAAATGTCCACAGACATACTGACACACATAGGTAACAGAAATAAACTTAGGTTTATAATTTTATTGACTTGTTAAAGAACTATTAAGGTAAACTATTAAAGCTTTAACTATTAACTATTGAAGTTTTAAAACATTTAGTATTTAACTGCCCTTATAAAATGTAACAATGCTTGTAAGTTGTGATATATGTCCAGGTCCAAACCACGCCTAGCTTTAGACCTGGTGTCCATATTGACCCATATCCTGAGGCAGATGCCAGAGAATGCAAACCTTGTGGACAATTGCGTCCAACCAGAACTATCAACTGGTGAGTTGGCCAAAATCCATATAATTACAATTGTCACTCAATTTACTGGCTGGGTACATCTAACTTTCTTGATCCTCCCCCAGTGGTACCTTTCTCCTGCAACTCCTTGGTTATTGATCAATTTTTGTTTTTTCATATTTCTTGGTTTTCTCAGTCTCCTGCTTTTAGTAGGGTTCTACACAAATGCCTTATTTATCACTTCCATGTTAAGTTATTTGATATCAATTATGTTTTGAAATCTTGATGAGCCTAGATTAATCCTAGAGTGTGTTCCATCGTTATTGTTTTATTTTGGACTTCTAATAATTCAGATTAAAAAATCCTGGGTAGAGAAATACTAAATGAAAATTTGCTAAAGAAATATCTGATAGTCAAGCCTCACATGTAATCTCACTCCATTTTTAACTCACCTTTCACGGTCATATTCAGTGTTTGGTTTCCAACCAAATGTCATTGTCTCACAAGATTAATTGATTGATACATCAGGTATTGACTGGCACCTAGTGTTGAAGTTCGGCAACAAGACTCTGCAGACTCGCACGTGCCTGCTGCTGCAGTTGATGGCTCGCTACTGTACGCAGACCGTGCAGTCTGCATGGCACATCAAGCTGCACAGGTATATAGATGCACTACGCTTCGACTCTTCTCAGGACCTCAGATGCGTAAGTTTCAGGGTGAAATGGTACAAACATTCCTTAATTTTTTGCTACCAGAATTGATTAAATGAATAAGATAAAATAAGCTACACACTGTTTTTGTTGCCACTTTGCTGAAAATTAATATGAATGTCTAGTTCCAGAGAATCATAACTTCTTTCTCTTATCTCGGTACACCAAAAATATGTGTTGTCAGGAATCACTTTTTTTATAATTTACTGTTCTGTGTGTAGTTTATTTACAAGATATGAAAACAAAATAAACAACCAATTATTTTTATAATCAACATAATTTCAATTGATCAGTAGTCGTGTTGTAACCTTCTGTGCATTTGATGGAGTGTTTTGAATACTTTTTTTAACCATGATAAATTCAGCAATAATTGTCAAGTATTATAGAGTACAATATTTTGGACACACCTTACTGTCGATTGTGTTTTTATTATAGTCTAATTTTGTTTCAGGCAGCTGAAGATGTAATAGAATTAGTTCAAGATCTACCTTTCTTTGACCAGATCAGTTCACAATTGGATGATGAACTCCTTTAAAGTTGATTGTGAACCAGAAAAGTTAAGAGTTTTTAACTTTGGTGAGATTTCTATTCAATTACATCTAAAAAAAAAAGACGTCGGAAGAGTTTGTTTTGTCAAAATTCGCTTATTCTAACGTATCTGGACGGGAAACACTTCATAATTTTCAGAACTCTACTTGCAGTAGTAAAAGTCTGAAAGAACTCTCTAAGATTGATTTAACCTAAATAATTAGAGCACAAGGGTTTATTAGGTTTTTCTGTGAGGAAAGCAGGCTTACCTGAATGAGAAAGAGTCCAGATAGGCTCAGGATACACAACTTACACTATACACAAACCACAAACCATTCGAGTTGAACAAACTCATGCCTTTTTTATATTCTACTAATGTATAGGTAGTGTTAAGTTGTGAGTATTTGGCCAGTTTGGACTTTCCCCCATTTAGGTAAGCCTGCTATCCTTACAAAAACCCTAATAACTAATAAGAGGTTTGGACTAGAATAATCAAGTTAAGGGAAGTCGAGCAGATGTTCATTACAGTACTATACCATTAATGTTACTCTATTAATTTGTTTTATTTCATTGAGGTCAAGTTGCTGCCACTCTTTACCTATTTAGTTTTTTTTTCGATATACCTGAGGGCCTGAGGCTAGACTTATCAACATGTAGGTAGTGTACTTTGTAGAGCGTCCTTTGAGATGTTCGTAAGTTTAAACTTTGTTTGTAAATATACCTGTGTGTAAATTTATTAGAACTGTGATATTAACAAAATTTTATTTATAAAGTAGTTTAAAACATTTTTACCCCTGTACAAATTTTACATGTTGATAGTTACTGTTTGTGTAGAAATGTAATTTTACCTACGACCGTTTTTTAAACTAGCTTTTTCAATTCAGTTCTTAAAATTTAAAACATACAGTTTACAGTATTGTTTTGTTACTGTACAGTACAATTTTTGACCAATGAGGTTCAAGAATTGAGAAAAAGTAGTAAAACTTTAATACTTTGAACGTCAACTTATCAGCTGTTAAGACCAATTTAATTGATTAAACAATTCAATTCAATTATTTAAGATGGGGACGCCACTATGTGTGTATTTTAACCCAAATATGAGTGAAGGATGAGTGGCGCGATCTTGTAGTCTTGTTAGTGACTAAGGCCGACATGTTCCTGAGACACAGCTGTTAATTAATTAGCTAATAGCAACTAAGGGACCTACAGTTTATTGTGGAATCCGAACCACATTTTTTCCTCGAAATTAACGAATTGGTCTAATTACTAGGATAGTACTGCAGATAGTCGTAGTACTCACTAGTGCGACAATCAGCGAGTCGTTGGGACAATAAGTCGTTGCATCACAATGAGTGGTAATGAGAGGTTATAAACGAAAATTTTACCTCTCTAGAAGTTGTGAGTAGAGATTTTTAGTAATTAAGAAACGGTCTTAGGTAAATTAGTGTATGCAACTCGCCTAATTAGCCTTTACATAAGGACTATCCTTATGCAATTTTTGCGTAAACTACTATTTTCTTCGTGTTTTTTTGTTGTTTCTTGAGTTGTATTAAATGTATTACATGTTAATACTTAGATATCATGTTGTAAATATATTTAGTCAAATATACCAAAAATATTTGATAAAGCAAAAAATGTTCTTTATTTTACACTGTAGTTTATGATGCTGTTTTAAGAGGCTAACAGCATTGACTATTGGATACTGAAGTAGACGTCCCATCTATATGGACCAGCTGTAGCCAATTTTTTGTTAAAAAAGAACGTAGTTGTGTTAGCCAGCCATAGAATGCGCTAATGTCTAAAACTCTTATTTCCTACCTCATTTTTTGTTGCTGGCCAAGTTGATGGGTCATAGCAGTTGATATAGCCATTGACTATATAACACTATAGATTGAAAGCCCCATGCATTTGGTTGTGAACAAGCAATCAGCACACTCTGGCGGGAAGGGGCGATCATAGCGCTGACGTCACCGACCAGTAGGTGCTGCCACGATGTGGCGGGCAATGAAAACATATAGTGCTGTCTGCTGTTACGACGCAATGTACAGACAGCCGACAGCTGAGCCATGCTACCCGCGCCCACGTGACTTGCCGGAACTGCACATCCGCACCCCGCTCGCCTCGAATTCGTGTTGTTAGAAGTGAAGCGCGACTGATCATTAATTTAACTGCTTCGCTAAGAATCTGAGATATTAGACAGGGACTCGTATCCTAATATTTATCGTGATATTTTAGTGGTTAGTGAATTTGATTGATAAAAAAGATGTCCTGTAGATATGTGTCAATTTCCTATCTAATCAAATTTAAAACGCCGATGAGAATAACTTAAATACAAATTTGCGTAATCAAACCCGTCATGTTGTAAATGTTTTGTTGTAAGAATTTATAATAAAATATTTAATTGGAATTAAGAAAGTGTGATATTTTATAAATAAATAAATTGATTTATCCACATATCACAATTAAATTTTAATCTATTAAGTATAGTAGAATACATCCACCTAACACTTTGAAACTAGTGAACGAGCTTGAAATAACGACCACACAAAACGCCCAAAGCAAATAAAAACTGCAAAATGTGCTCAGAGAAAAGAGAAAGTGAAATGACAGAACATGGAAGGTGGCAGAGCGTTCGTTCTGCAAAAAAGTGTAATGCAAAATGCCTGAATTATTTTGCAATGCAGATTTGTCACATTATTTTTCAAACCAGATAACGAGAACCCCAGCGTATGTAGGAGTAGGCCTATATTTTCTTTTAACGCATTTAACAAGCATTTATTTGTATACAGCAGAACCAAATCTTTGACCAGGGTGTTTTATATTTTTATACATTGGGTTGTCTGTAGCTGCCGATGTGGGGTCTTCATTTGCTAAATCATAGGGCCATAAACGAGGGATCGTAAACTTTCACCGTACCCCAGCTTACAAAAGCCGAGATATCCCCGCGGTCACGTACCTGTGGGCATTGACTATGCAGCGGGGGTGTTTTTTACAGTCTGGGAGATCCAAACAACAGTTTGGACTCAACAAGTTTTCTTTGTACTGTACATAAGCAAATAAGAAATCATTTTTCTGTTAATTTAATGTATCTTTCGATTATTTGTTTGGAGTAAAGAAATTACTAACCTTCACTAAGCGTTGTTAATTTTAAAGATTTTTACGATGACAATTTTTATAATGAATACATTTTGCACTATTTGCTTTAGAATTATAAGGACCATCACAGAAGAATTTCAATCAATCAGAATTAATTTTTTTTTTAAATCCTTTTCTCGGTTTTGTCATAGTTTTATGGGAAAATAACATAAGTTTCAAGAACTTTTGAACCGTAGTTTTACCGGAATATGGGGCTGCACTAGATGTTGTTAAGAATAAAAAGGATTATTACATACAAGTACTTAATTCAATCAAAACATTGTTTTTTTTAGAAATTAAGATTTGTTTCTTGTATTAAGGGATATTTTGTTGAAATACCATAATTTATAATGGAATTTTAACCGTAATTTTTACAGAAATTGGAGTTATACTATTTTGTTCTGAATTTAAAGGGTTACAACATACTACAGTACTATTTTTCAAAATCGTTCGGTGATTTCAGACATCAATTCAGTGGATATATCCACTCAAAACTTATACTCGAAAATGTTGGGGTAAACAATACTTTATCCATGTACTAACTAATATGGGGAGAAATTAAAAATAAGTTGTCAAAGATTTGCTATACCCTCCTGAATAAACTCGTACCGTACCAAGCATACGGACGGTACGTGCAAATGAGTAAACAAAACGCGGTATCGCGCGCGCAGCAGTAGCCTACTACATCAGGAGCAATGACCTACATCGCATTCACACAGCTGCGCCGCCGCCCGCTGCCGAGTACATCGCGAGCGCGGGCAATCGTTCACTCCGCATCGCCGAGTCTAGTCCAACAGTTTAGTCTAGTCTAGTCCGCCGCTAAGCTCAGTCCAGTCCAGTTCGCAGCAACTGCAGCGCGCCAGGCGACGGTTCCATGAACTTCGTGGTGACGGTGCTGCGATCTAAGTAGAGGGGTCAGTACTACGTGCATCCACCGTGCACAACACAGTACATTGTAGAAATTTCCTGTTCACGCGTCCTCCCGCATAGTCTTCAATCTAGTAGTGTTATATAGTCAATGATATAGCTCACAATAAGTCATTCCATTTGTTTTAATTGTTAAACAAGATTGTGTATTCGACAGAAATCAGTAATTAATTAACTATTCATCGACTATTTAGATCAGCACAATCTGTCGGTAGCTCACCTCAACTACGACTATTTTGCTTAAAAAAAATGCTACAAATTTTAACATGGGGAAAGAATGCCCAGTTGTATTAATAGTCAAAGCTAACAGGTTACAAAAACAGGAATCAAAAACCGTTTGGGGCCAGTTTCTCACACTTTTGTAGTAGTTTTTGAGAACTCAACCTATCAAATAGATCTTTCAAAGTAAGGTGTACACTGTAAGTTGGTAAAGTTTGATTCAATATTACAAATTTTAAAAACAAGTAATGATTTGGAAAAATGATAAACTATTAGAGAGTTATACTTAATATAAAGGGTTTACAGAATACAAACAATTTAAAAAGCTACAAAAACTTTTATTCACAAAATAAATAGTTTGGAATGAAGAACTAACCTAAAGATCCATAGAAAACAGATGAAAAGCCTATAATAGTAAAAAACCCAAGGCACTTAGAATGAATGTGTAATTCAACAATTTATAAACTCAACACAGTAAGTTATTAGCCTAACAATAAAAAGTTAATACTAGGCCTACTCAATTTTACAATCTTGTTGAAAATGGTATACAAACCATTAAAAACTAAGTATTTTAGAAATTAGTTAACCAAATTTTACTAAAACTTAATTATTAATTACATATTGCTTATCAAACTGACCTAGAGTTGCATGGGAAATAGTTTTCATAGCAGTGAATCATAAAAATAGGCACTATGGGTTTTTTAGAATGTTGAAACACAACAAAATATTTGTTTACAACTACAACCTTAAAAAATATCTTAACAGCATATCTCCCATTAGGTCTGTTAAAATAAATTTATACATCAAGGATTGTTTATTACTTATGCCAGTCATTTAAAGAATGTTGTTATTAACAAATAATGCAAAAATATTACGCAAACATAAATATGTGTTGAGGGAATAACTTTAAAGTAGTTAACAAGTACTTTAACAACAGAGAAAACTACAATTACAATAACGCTATAAAATATCCAAGAGATAACAAATACAAGAACAAAAAACATATTTAACTTACTGTATAACAAACAACACAAAAAGGACTCAACTACAAGTAGTAGTAATAGTAAGGCTACTTTGGCACTACACTGTTGGTGTTATACACAAATATTGATCATCCAATTTCAGTAGTTTGTAACTGAAAATCTGGCATTTAATTTTATGTTTACATGTATCCACACTTACTAACTTTGAGTTATGGGATAATACTTTTATTTAAAAAGTAAATAGTATTGAAAGAGTGCTAATTTTTGATCCATAGTTGTCAAAAAAATTGTTTTGCCAAAGATGGAATTTTTACAGAAACTTTATGCTCTTAATGCCTCGATAAATAGCTAAATGAATTGAGTAATAGTATGTATAGATCAAAAATGTTTCCCTGAACTGGTCAAGGCTATATAGCATGTGTGTATTAGTAATTAAATTGCATGTAAAAAAGAACTGTGACAGTTTTTTCCATGAAAGTTTAGTAAACCTCTAACCATTCATCATTTAAGAGTTAAACCATTTACAAAGCTGCTATCAGCTTCTACATTGGAGGATTGACCGTTCATAGTTTCAGTGAGAAAGTAAAAAGCAAGACAATTCTAAAGCTACCCTTTTTTTACAATATTTGACATTTAACTTACAATATATACAAAAAAAATTCATCCAACAACCTACACTAGAAAGTAGTATTGTACCCATTAGTATCCGTATACTTTTGGTTACTAGAATAATAAATAAAAATACCACTTCCTCAATGGAAAAATAAATGTTCTTTCTTTTAAGGGTATCGTAATAGTTGAAATAAACGAAACAATTTACTATAAAACACTCTCTTGTGTGTGCAGTTACGATTGGTTATTTCTTTAAGCGGCTAAAATATAAATTTCTTGATATTTCCAAAAGTAAAACATTGGGGTAGTTTCATTTTTTATTTGTTGTATGTTCATTTGTGCTATTTTAGTTAAGGTGAAAGCTATCACAGCTACTAAAACTAATTCAGTATAATAATGTTTTAACGAAACAATCCATATCAGAGTAGTAAAACTTAATATTTTTAAGTTACATTAAACCCAATTAAAATGAAAAAAATAACTGAACTAAGCAAACTACCCTGTGAATATATCAATTTAATTTAACCAACATTAAACACTAACCATAGTTCCTTTCTCACACAAATATATGCCAAAGAATCAAGTATAATCATTGAAGTGTTCCTGTGCGAGTAGAATGGAGGTGTTGTAAAACCATGTAACTTGTTAAGGTTGTCGCTTTTGAGTTAGTAAGTGTACTTGTTTTGAAGTCGGATTAAGGGATGGTCTTAAACATCGGGTAAATATGTTTCTTATACAAATATTGATGTTAATAAGAACTATTGAATATAAAAAAAAATATTTCCTGTGTGACTGAGAGCGTGTGGGGCTGAAAAATAGTTAGGGTTGGACAAGGCCCGGCATCAGTACCTAAGGACGGCAATTCCCGCCACTGAAGTGACTTCACCAATTTCAACCAAAATCGACACCGAGACATCAAGATTAATCATTTTTGATTCCCTGACATCATTATCACATTATAATTTTTTTGCATTTTAGGGTCACAATACCTACACTCATAATTATTAGCACTGAATGTCTTAGAGTGAAAATTTAAAAACGTACGTTTTCAGGAAAAGCACTTTGCAAATTCTTTTCCCCTTTTTTCAAAACTTTTATTATTATTTTTATTTCATTAACATTTGAAGTTTCATAAAATGTCCATGGTAACGCAATATCTTTGGTAGTTTCTTTTTAAAAGAGCATTTTTAGTGGAAAAACACAAAATCCTGTCACGACCATAACGGACGTTTAAATGAATATTAAAAATAGTTAATATTATTTTTATAACAATGTTTTGTTATAAACTTATTTACTTTTATGACCATTATACAATAAAAAGGTCACTGAGCTTTTGGTATATTTGGTCTTTCTAAAAAAAAATAAAAAAACTCAAAAAATTGAAAAAAGCCAATAAAATCTTTTTAAGTTTGTATAACTCCGAAAAAACTTACCTGAGACCCGAAAAATCGTTATGTTTGTATAGAGGTGTGCTTCTTTTGTTTATAAAACATTGAAATATGACGATATTTTAATTTTTGAAATTTTTTTGATAGAAATCATAAACGTGATGGTCAGGGACAAGCGATACGGTCGTGAATTGTCTGGAATAATCTAAATCTTTCTAAACAATCCTTCAATTATCCTGTTAGTTATAATAAAAATATGTGTTTCAATTGAACTAAACTGTTTAATTTACAATTATATTAAAGTTATTGTCACGACCAAACACACTATAATCCATAAGGCTGGATTGGTCGTGAAAAAACCCGCGATGGTCGTGAAACTTTGGTCGTGAAATTACGTGTTATTTGGCTCTGTTCTGGCGGTAGCCCTGCACCTCATGTTCGAGGATACAAAGTGAACTTCTAGGTTAGTCTAGCAATTGAAATATCTTATAAACAAAAATTAACACCATGTCTACTTCATCGAATTACTACGTACGGTCATGGACACACCAAAATTACAAAAAACACAATCTTTCCTTTATTAATCTTGTAATTCCTCATTTCAACTAGAAACGACTGGCACTACAATCCTGACATACACCCCGAACTAGTCTCTAAAACCATCTGAGTCCATCGACGCCAGGCTTGCCACTGTCATGCTCCAAAGTTGAAAATTTTTCCCAAATGGTCGTGACGCCAAATCGAGGGACAGACTTATTTTGACATGGTAGTCAGTTTTTAATGACAATAAAATTATAATATGTTCCTTTTTTGTAAGTTTAATAACCATTGATGACATAAAAATATGGCTTTATATATTTCGGCATGAATAATTAGTCTAAAAACAGCGTGAAAATTGGAAAATGCACCCTAGGGACACGTCATGGTCGTGAATTTCGAGACTTTAAAAATACGAAAAAAATACCTAGAACCTATTTAAAACCAAATAAATGTGTGTAACAGGTTGCCCCCGTCCCAAAAAATATTAAAACACATAATAATAAACTACAAATCCAGTATCTACGAAGAAAAAGGCCAGGGACATGAAAACGTACGTTTTTAAATTTTCACTCCTTAAGAGAAGATTGAAATTAAGAGTATAATTACGTTTATGAATTTAAAATTGTTTTTATAGGCTAACTTTTTAAATTTTAATAAGTATAGTATACACTACAACTTGGAACCTTGGTAAGCCCATGTCCATCAACTTAGGAGCATAATGTACAGATACAATTGAATTACAAACGCTTACTTAAGTGAACCCTAAGTGACTTCTTGGTCATGGAAGTTTGCTACAACTTACAAAATAAATTTAAATGCACACATTTTTATGATCAAGGGGACTGACAAAAATTTACAAAACAAATGTACCCTAGAAGAAAAAAAATTAAAAACCTTATAGGCCACCTTATGTTTACCCTGAAATCACAATGAATATACACTTTTTCTAAAAATAAATGCTTATTTTTGGAATATGGAGGTTTGAGATCATGAAAAACAATGTTGATTTAGATAAGAATAAAATTAGGAATAATGGTTAGGCTATTGACAATCTCGAGTATCGGTTAGTTTGTAGCCTATAATAAAATAGGAAACTATAGTTATGGTTTAAGTATTTAAATTACTTGTGTTGTATTGAAAATTCTTTGCAAATCTTAAAAAATGGCACTGATAACTATAATGTATTGTTGTAACAATAAAAAAATGATCCCTTAGTTACCCTTATTTCTATTGGAAAAGAATAAAATTAAACTTACGATAAAATATCATATTATCAAAGATCTATTGTTCCTCTACAAACTTCTCAAGCAGGTGGATTTGTTGGAATGTGTTTTTACAAAAGTGACTAGATGACAAGGTTTCCAGCTGTCAGACGCTTGAAGACTACGAAGAGTTGGTCCATTCTTTGAACCGATCGCCTGCAACAAGGAGGATACACAGGTAAATGAAGAATTTAACATTTATCGTATTTCTTGTTGACAGCAGAAAAAGATTTTATTATTTCACTTTATTATAATTGTTTTCCTTTCCTACTAAACTCACACTCAAACAAAGTATTTGTCAGTCTCTTATAGAGTGTGTAATGTATTTATTACTTTTGGTGCAAAAACCTAAACTTCTTATGTCAGTTAGAAGGAGCATAAACAAAATCCTTATTAGATTTATTCTGGAAACATGGAATAGTCTGGACAGACAAACATGTTAATGAAGGCCAACAATCAGAGATTATCACAGCTAAACTATCAGAAAATATCCACTGAGCATATTGCATTATAAAGTTTGTTGACTAGATGAAACTAATCATACCGATTAAAATTTCAAAAATATATTTTATAATCACACACACACACACACACACATACAAGTTTTAAAACTGCACCAATTTCTTATAAATTGCACAAGGAGGTCATATAAAACTAAAACTGCATAACTACAACTAACTCTACTACAAATCAAATGTAAAATTCCAATCACTTTAGTAGTTATTACATGATAAGATTATGACTAACTTGGGAGCTAATAAACTAAAATGTTTTTGGCGTGTTTTGACTACTGTATTTTATGTTGCTCGAAGTCAAGCAATTGCAAAGTATTACCGGAGTTATTTAATAACGAATAACAGTCATAATTTACGATGAGTTTAAAAGAGCCCACTCAAAGATAATGCAACTAATGGAAATATTCACTACGTACACAACTGTTCTATATAGTCAACATTTCATGTAAATATTGTATCATTTTTCAAAAAGCTGAATCTTGTTTTTTAGCGTTTTTTAACAAATGTTTTCCACTCATAGCCACATTAGATTGTCCATGTTTACCTTCGTCATTGATAATATAGCCTTCATGGTACTACCATAATTACAAAAACCTTACTTTGATGTATTATTGTCTATGGTCTATATAATCATAGTTTTCTTAACATTCTTTTCACTAAAATCACAAATAACGTCTGAAAAGTCAAATGAGTTTCACCAATTCATACTGAACCTAAAATCTAGAATTAATATTATTTTTTCACTTTGGTTTTGCAATAACTATATGTAGGCTATTTGAATTTTAAATCTATGACCCATTGTAAAATATTCTTCAATACCATAAACAAACAAAAATTAAACATAACTAGGGCCCTGTGACTAGGGTTGCACCAGCCCCACCCTTAAGGGGGCCATGGTTATTACTCACCAAAGCTCTTTACGGTCTTGTTAATGTTTGCTCTGTAGCCTTTGGAAGACATAGCTTGCTGTTGTGTCAGATGTTCTACACATCTCTGTTCAAACAAACCTACCAACATGGTTCATTGTTAGACAAGCATTTACTAAAGTAGTTCTGGGCTTGCACAAGACTACTACTGCTATTGATTCAGTTGAACCCTTATCATAGCTATGAACCAGATTTAAAATACCGCAATGTATGTAAACCTCAAGAATACAGCTGTCAGCTTAAGCTACCAACTGAGTCTTCTTTATTTCAGTGTCAGCATTCCATCATTGTACCTGTAAATACTATACAGGCTGTTTTTTTTTAACTTGCTTCTTTATTAATGTAAAAACTGCAATAGATAGAAATATGCAGTTTGTGGGCATCATCTATTGACGTAGAAGCCACAATTCAATTGTGAATTCAACGTTAAGTTCCCATTCACCACCTTTCTCCCCCCAACACCTTCAACCTACCTTCAACTAAACATTTTTAAATTACAAGGTACTCTTTTTGACATAGCCTATTAGGGCATGAAAAAAAGAAATGATTGCCACAAACTAGATAGATGTTTCTACGTCAATCCTATCAAAAGTTATGGGAGTTCAAAATTTAAATTTTTCCCCACTTTTTTTTACAAAAACACGTTTTTTTTATATCTAAAGCTCAAAAACGTTAAGAGCTAGCAAAGATTTGAAAGAATTTTCATAGTCAGGAATTAAATTTTCTACAAAAAACACAAGCATTTTCCGAAAATCGCACTCCTTCACCACCAAAAAACGCCCTACTTCTAAAATTTGTAAAATTTCTCAGATTTTTTACGTGTTTTTTATTGAACAAGCATGCCAGCTACCTTTAAATAAAGGTTGTTTAAAAAAGGGTTGGTGCAACAAAAGCTATGAGAGCATGGCATAGTACTTCTAACTATCCTACACAGATTTTCTTTCACCCTTGAATATATCTTTGGGGCACGACATACAGTCTCGTGGTACAGAAGGGAATGTTGGAATCTTTAGAAGTATTTCGGCATTGTAAATAAGTTAAGGGGTTTTAATCAAGGGTGTAACAGACTAAAAAAAACATAGGTACCCTTAGTGCTTGCATACGGTACGTTATTCAATGTGTGCGAGGAGGGATATAACTTTTCCCATCCCTTTGACACCTTTTATTTTCAGTGGCTGTGCAATAATTCACTAATGAAAAAGAAAATCTATACCCAGCAAGATTTCTGTTGAGAATTTACACGTGACATCAAAAATCACAGTTGCAATTTTTTCATATTCGGCTTATGTTTTTAATTTCATCATATCGTATTAACTGAGGGCAATAACTAACAGATGCTAAATTGAAGAGACTCACCATAGGGTTCAACGGAGCGATCTAATCGAGATTCTATGAAAGCCGTGAACATGGTCGTTTCAGTGAACCAATCAAGGAAGCTCTGGACAGTGCTTGACGACACACTCTTGACAAATGCCTCCCTCTGTAAACAGTGCATTTTACCAGTCAGTCAAGTAAACTAGCCAATCATCTGACTGAGTTGTGAATAAACAATATGCTCACCATAAAAGCAAAATAATCCATTGCGTTATGAGTACTTAGATAGGATTGCATTAATGCTTGCTTGGAACAAAATAAAGTTTTGGGATTCGGGTGTAAGTCTGCTTCATCTGTGAGTATTCAACAATGCAATTATTTGGTGATTGGAAATGCATAGGAAGAAGGAATGGGTACACAACAACTTACCCCCCCCCCCTCCAAAAAAAGAGAGTTCCAGGAAGTTTAAAGCCGTTATCGTGGTTTTCACGTTTTCAACTGCCTAGAATTGTTCTTTTGGGTAAGTTAGTAATGTATTCATTCTTTATTTTTTATTTCTTTATTGTATTCCTACGCCTTTTTTTATAAATAAAAAATAAAAACAAACCTTAGTGATTAGAAAGTGATGTGTTGGCAAGACTGAGTTAGACAGTTCAATAAAGGTCAGTTTTGTAAAAGTCAATATACTAATGTCTTCTGAAGAAGATCCTTGAAGAGGCACCAATTTGTGTGCTGTCAACGGCCTGGAACCCTTCAAGTGTATAAAGATATGTATAAATTCCTTCTTTCTTCACACATTTAAGCCCTTTTTTGTCCTAGGATGCTAGGCACGAGCCCGGGATTGTTTTACACATTACTTCAGGCTAGACCTAGGGGTTACAGCATTATCACATAGATAAAATCCATTGGTAATTTGGCAGGATTTTAGCCCAAGACCTCATGGTCAGAAATAACGCCAACTCAAACTAACCTGAAACTCGCGGTGGCCGTTGCCAGACGAGGTAATGATGTGATCCCTGTAGTGGCCGATGAGTTGTACAAACAGCGCAATGAGTGCTTCAGACGCGACCAGGTTGTGCGCAGGTGACAGCGGAGAGTTCTTGTCAGGTACGGCACACAACAGCGCTTCCCGCAGTCCACGGCTCAGCTTGGGTGGCAACACTGTACTCTCATCTCCACAACTCTGCAGTACCTTACTCTCGTCTACGTCAACCACCAACACCTGTGCGTTAAAAACATTGACGTTTTACATTTCCTATCTTCGATAGAAATACTAACTTTATACAAGTTGGTTCAATCCAATCCCAAGAGGGGTCGATTATGGACCAAATACCATTCTTGTCATTGGGCTGTTTAGCAAAATTTTGACATAAGATGACAGATAGTAACACGACGTGAGCTTGGACAGGTCACTCACAAAAGCGTGAAATCCCGATGGCGTAAAACAGAAAAACCATAATAAAAAGGTTAGTAATGGTTTATTTGTCATTCCAGTCCATAGTAGGTATCAGTGGGTTTATCATAGTTAAGGAGCTATTGCATCTTCCACAACAGAAAATTAAAAGATGAAGGTCATGTTTTTTTTGTGTAATCTGTAAGATATGAATGTTGGATGTCCGTACACTGTATGACGTTTTTATCTTCTGTTAAAACGGTATCTAATAACAAAATTATGAAACATACCTTTCTTTAAATGGATGTGTCTGTATACAATGTATAGTGATAATTATTATATTTGGGTTTTTTGTGTTATTTTTACTATGTTTGCTCTTTCGCTTAACTGAATTATCTTTTATATTTTTTGGTCTTCAGAGGATTAGGCATGTTAATTAAAGTAATTATTACTGAGTTGTTATCTCATCTTAAGTCAAAATCAAATTCCAAATTCCAGTCAATAGAGAACACAAAACTTATTTATTTAATATTTTTGAATAGGAAATTTCAGCAGGATTTTATTTCCATTTCAATAATTTTTAGCTTGCTCAATTATCAGAAAACATGCTTAATTATTCTGAGGAAACCCAACAAACTTACCTGATCAATCATAGAAAACACAACAGGATGTGGTGCATTAACATCTCTTTGCTTGAGTAACCCGACCACGTACGGTGTAGGTGCCTGGCAAACATCTAGCATGTTGTCTGGTACTATAGGAACCAATGTGTGCTGCCAATGGAACGGATACAGAGCAGCGCAAAGACCTTCGAAACACGTGGACAGCTTGCTGTATGTACACAAAAAACGTAAGTTACGAAAAAAGAAATTTACATTACGCAAGTTTAAAATATATTTGTTTAAAATAAAGATAAATTGAATGAGAACCCTACTACAGCATTGTCGTTACAGCTTATAATAAATTAATTACTTTTACAATGTGAGCAGACGGCAAGCAGCCTCGAAGTAAGCAAGAGTTGTTTGAATTATCAAAGGAATATTAAATATAAATAAATACATTCATAGTATTATTATGTATGTTGTTTCATTATATTCCTTTGTTCCTTTTTTTAAAGAATTTCCCATGGAATAAGCTATTACCGTACGTCTCATGGTAAGACCTGGGCCCGGGATCGATTTACTTTTTCGTTTTTAGGTCTCAAGAAACGGCTTAATATCTTTTTAACTAAACCAGGTATAAAATTCAAACCTTTCACATAAACTTATATGTATGAAAACTACTCTTTCCAAGCATACCATTTTTTCACCTTCACCAGGAGTAGGTACATAATCGTTAATGTAAGCATTGGTTGATATGCACTTCATTTTAAAGGGCTGGTCAAATGGAGTTCAGTGGAAATCCTACCAGACAAATGGAAATTTGCTTAGTCCGCAGGTCTGCTGTGGCGGGGGTATTTCTTTTTTGTTATTATAGTTTAGGCTATATGTGAACTAAATCATCGTCAAACATTATAAGTCAACCAATAAACATAATAAGAAACAGGGACACAATCAATTTGCAGAATAAATGGACTATAAATGAAACTGTAATAAAAGAAATTAGTTCTAGTTTAGAAGAACTAAACTTGTACATACTGGTTTTATAGATGCAAAATAATCAGTTAACATTGTTCAGGAAAGATAACACACCTGATAGAGTAGCTTAGCAGGATCACTTTACGCTCTAGAAGCAGAGTGGAGAAGAGCTGTATGAAGACAGAGTGGCGAACTAGGTTCAGCAATCTTGCGATGTCTGTTTCCTCTTGCCTAGGGTCCAGCTTCCTCGGTAGGATCTCAACTCTAAAACCACAAATAACATGTGAAACACTTAATTTTTTGCTGTGTTGTTTCCGGACCAACCAATTGACATGAAATGGTTCAAATACCTGGTTGTCGCCTTGTGGTCCAAGTTTGTCCTACTGGATTATGTGTATTTTCGGCGCGAACGCCATCATCAAATCCGTAAAAGAAGTAATAAGTAATCTTCCCTGAAGAGGTGAGTCAAAAGTTCACAGCACAAAAACACTGGTCAACCGTCATTTAACAGTTTTTCTTTATACGACGTGTGCAGGGGCAGGATATGGAGGCGCGCCAGACGTGTGTCGAGACTCAACTGAAGATCTGATCTTTGTCTTGATGACGTGGTGAGGCAGCATTGTTTGGGCTGTTGTTTAATTGTAAAATGGTTTCAAAAAGAATGTGGGATTGCAGGATGATTTTGTAACAGGTTATTTGTATCATTTTGGTGACTGCAAATTTCGAACTGTTCCATTGCAGTCATTGTGTGGTCTTTTTGGCCAATATGTAAAGGATTCAAGTTGTTTGTTTGTCTGTATAACTGTGTTATACTGTATACTGGTTAGTGGCACTAAATGGTTGGTAACATTTTGATTTTTGGAGGATGGTTTTCTTGGGAAGGTGTTCTTTGAATTTTTTAATAGAGGGCTTTTGCCAGTTTGTCCAAAGTAAAATTTATCTCAGTCATCACAAGTCATTTTATTTTATATACTCCTGTTTTTTGACAAACATCCTGTAGGCTACTGTATTTTTTACGGAAAGGAGATTTTGGAGTTTGTTCAATGCTTAGAAAGCTACAATTTTCCCATGTTTTTTAATTTGATTTTTAAGAGTATGGGAGAGTTTAATCCCCCCCTTTTGGATTAGGCTTTTTTATTTGTTTATCGATCAATTTATGAATAAGTTTAGGGCTGTATCCATTAGAGACGGTATTGTATTTTATTATGTTTATCTCTTTTTCATAATCATCAGAGTTTAGAGGGACTGTGAGCATTCTATTCAATTGAAACTATTGTACGCTGATATCTTGTGTTGGAAGGGGTAATAGGATGTTCATGAATGGGGATATCAGTTGCTGTAGGTTTCCTGTAGACGTTAAAATGTAATCTTATGGAGTTGGAGTGGAGGAGCTGAATGATTTCTTCATTAATTCTGTCCAACAGACTCGGGATGCAATTGGTACTCCACCAACCCCCGCTGTAAACCTCCTAGCCCAGCATCCTAGACCAACATGTTCTTTTAACATTGAACCTGTCTCTTGTGAGAAAGTGCTATCTGTTGTACATAAGATGAATAGCTCTAAAAGTAAGGATGTTTTTGATCTCTCTGCAATCTTAATTAAGAATGTGATTTATCATATTTTAGTTCCACTCACCTATTGTATCAATGGTTGTATCAAGGAGGGCGTTTTTCCAGATGTCCTAAAAACAGCCAGAGTAGTCCCTGTCCATAAAAAGGGGAACCATAATGTGCCTGAAAATTTTAGACCTGTATCTATTCTCCCTGTGTTTGGTAAGATTTTTGAAGGTATAATTAAGGATCAAATGTTACCTTATTTTGAAAGTAATGGACTGCTTGTGTCAGCCCAGTATGGTTTCAGATCAGGCCGTTCCACAATCGATGCAGTTGAAGTTCTGACTGGGGTTGTTTTAAAATCATTTGAGAGGGGAGGCTTTGCTGGGGCCACAATGTGTGACCTCAGCAAGGCTTTTGACACAGTGGACCACAAAATTTTGCTTGACAAACTCCATTTTTATGGAGTTAGGGGTAAGGGTTTGGACTTACTGGGATCATACTTGGGCGGGCGCAGACAGTTTGTCTCTGTAAATGGTCAGTCCTCTGTTGTCAAATCTTTAACTCATGGCGTCCCACAGGGGTCTGTCCTTGGGCCCTTGCTTTTCAACATAATGATAAATGACCTTTCTTTGCATTTGGGAGAGGGGGTTGTTTGCTATGCTGATGACACTACTCTAATTGGGGTAAATGATAACTTAAATGTCCTGCAGGGCACTATGTCTCAGACTCTCCAAATGGCCTCGGCGTGGTTCCGAGCTAACTTTCTCTTCCTGAATGAGAGTAAGACTCAGACCATAATATTTAGTCTTAGATAGCTTAAGCAAGATGTCACAAGCGTTAAACTACTTGGATTAATGTTGGATCCTAAGCTGGATTGGAATAGTCACATATCTTTTATATGTACAGTCCAACCTCAGTATAACGAATCTGAAGGGACCGAACTGAATATTCGTTATATCAAGGATTTTGTTAAAACGAGGTTCGTTATATAGAGGTTAGGTTTGCAGGAATTTCGCTAAGTCGAGGTTCAGAACCAGCGTCGGTCAATATAGGTCGGGATTTGACCACATTAAAATACAATTAAAGTAGCATAGGCTACGCTACAATACTTTACAGTACAGTGTTTACATTGTACAGTAGAACCTAAATCATCCGGTATAATAAAGGGGAGGGATATTAAATATTGCGCAATCATGACAATGGCATTGACCTTGGTACAGGTTAAAAACTGTAAGTTTAAAATCACAGCTTGTTCTAACCCTCCTAAAACCTAGCCAAACACTGTATTGCGTAGTCATAAACCATGTAAAGAACAAAACAAAACAGTAGAAAGTTTTGTAAGCTACTGCTCGTGATAGGCCGGTAGGCTACTTACAGTACAGTACTGATTTATCACAACAGAGGAATGTCAATAATAATCATTAACTATATAGCATTGGTGTTGCTAGTTGAAACAAATAGTATTGAAAACAATAAATTATTAGATAAGTCATTATAAAGGGGTATAATCATAGCCAACTTAAGGATAATAAAAACACTCGTAAAAGGAATGTTAAGATAACGATGTTGCTATTCTTTCTCTTTGGTTTTGTTTTTATATTCTTTCTTAGCTTTCTCTTTATCCAAAAATTTTACAATTCACCATAGCTATCCCATATCGCCCAATCACAGCTTACTAAACATTACGTCGTCATCAGTCCTCAGTGAATGAAATCAGTTCTCCAGTTGCAACATAGCGCGCGCAGCGACAGCAGACAATATTTGTAAAACGGAGCTGAGCAGACGAATGTTAGTGCAAGCGATGACGTGACCATTCCATTTCATTTGATAAAGAAACAGATTTTCCCAAAACAATAATTGGGTGGGGGATTTGTTATATCGAGGGAAAGACGTAGACAATTCGTTATGCAGAGGTCAAATTCGCAATGTAGAGGTTCTGACAATGATAAATTCGTTATATTGAGGTGTCTTATTTTAGCCGAAATCACAAAAAATTCGTTACATCAAGGTCGTTGTTATGGTTTGTTCGTTATGTAGAGGTAAAATATACATTGTGTCTTATGGAGAGTTCTAGGGGATTAAAAAAATTTCGTTATATCAAGGAATTCGTTATATCAAGGTTCGTAATATCAAGGTTAGACTGTAGTAGACTTTCCAGGGTGATTCACTTGCTCAGGAACTTGAAGAACTCTATACCCACTGAATGGCTAAGAACTGCCTACCTTGCCTTTTTTCAGAGCATAATTCTTTATGGTTTAAGACTTTGGGGTGGCACTCCGGGAGTCGAGAGGGTTTTGACGCTCCAAAAGGCGGCAGTCAGAATCTTGGCAGGTGCTGATTTTCTAGACCACTGCAAACCTATCTTTATTTCTGAATCCGTTATGACAGTGTACAGCTTATATATTTACCAATCTCTTCTGTGTACTAAGCAGGAGTCAGGCTCTCTTGAACTCCGAAGTGATATCCACCCTCACAATACTAGGAGGAAGGACGACTTGAATGTACCCTATGTTAGATTAAGAAAGGTCCAATCTAGCTATTGTATACAGAGATATAAGTTTTTTAACAAACTCCCTTGTACAGCTCGGAACCTGCCGGAAGCAAAATTCAAAATGGGGATTGAATCTCTTCTGTTGGCAAATCCGATTTACTCATTCAAAAGGTATTTTGAAATTTCACCTAGCCAAGTAAGTTTTTTTAGCCAATGAGTGCCAATGTGTGATGATAAATAAGTTTTGTTTTTGTTTTTCAATTCTCTGCATGGTGTGTTGCAGGCTTAGGCTAAGATTTTGATGTATTGACGTTTCCTTGTACATATTATTATGCTTTCAGGAAATAAATCATTCTCATTCTCTCATTCTCATCTTATCTTTTTTTGACTAGTTTGGTATTTATATATATATAAAAAAAACAAAAAAAAAACAGCAATTGCAGACAAATGTTGAATATATAATTAAGTGACACAAGAACCATTGAGTTTGGACGAGCCTTATGTGTTCCAACAGGAGAAAAAACACAGCTGTAGAGTATTTTTCCTTGTATCGTGAACATTGTTAAAATTAGTTTCTATCAAGAACAAGTGTCTGATCAACCAGCAGTTTGCATTGGACAAGGTGGTGAATAACCACTATATCTTCTCTGCGTTCTCTTCCCATGGCGAGGCACGGGCAGAACAACTAATTCGAAATGAAATCATAAATTAGTTTGTTTCGCCTTGGTCCAAGCTAGATTTTTGTGCAGTACAGTATTTATAAAGTTTCTTGGACAGGTATTTTGGTATATAGGTTGGAAGTAATCTAAAGAGGTTAGATTGTTAACTGTCATTTGGTTTTTTGTCTTGGATTCTACATACTAGATCAATACTATTTTTAGGCTGTGGGAACATTCTCAAATGTGACATTCATTTTGATAATCTTCTCTGATCTTTTTATTTAAATCCGATGATGGCATCTATGCCAAAATACGCATAACCCAGCAGGATAAACTTGGACACAAGGTGACATTTTAGTTTAGTGTTAGTGACTTGGCCAATTGTTATACTGTAAACCGAACGGCTCAATAAATCTTGAATCTTGAATCTTGACAATCAGGTATTTTAATCTATTTTTAAAATTTCTAATGTAAAAATATTAGGTTGAATTTTGCTACATGCTCAGTTTTTAAGCATATATTTTTATTAGGCTTCATTAATCTGATCAAGGTGAATAACTAATGAACAACTATCTGTGAACAATAAATAACGGTTAGGAAAATAAAAGAAGTTTTTTACATAAGCTCTCAAAGTTTAATGATGCTACATGCACCAAGACACAAAACTATTTGCCCCTAATGACAGAAATCAGATACATAACTGGCTCAAGGACTATTAGAAAAAAATAAAAATTTAGTAACTCCTGACATGCAAAGATCTCCTTATGGAGAAAATTTTAACAACTTCTTTTACATTGTATTATAAAAGGACACCAGAAGTGTTGGTAAAAATGGTAACCAGGTGGTTTTGCATATATTCAGGACGTTCTCTTCTTATGCATACTTGCCATTAAAAAGATTGTTTTATTTGTCGTGAGTTAACAAAAGAATATATTTAATAAAACCTCATAACTTAAATAATGTTGTTCACAACAGTCGTAAACATAACTTGTATCTTTATCTTTATAAGCCTAATCTGCAGCTTGAATTAAACTGAATAATATGGGATTACAGATTATATATTTTTCATAGGGGTCTGCGGGTCCCCGATTTTTTCGGGTCGGGTCGGGCCAGCGGAAGGCCCGAGAGACCGGGTCGGGTCAGAGATTTGTTCGGGCCAAGATCGGGTCGGGCCAAAAAAAATTATTATTATTTTCAAAGTTATAATAAGTAATTTTCAAAGAAACACTCTTATATATATTATTACAGAGGAATTAAAATGTTAAAATTAGAATTAAATATTAAGTTTGCTCACGTTTAAGAACAAAGACACAACAGAGCAATTGCCTTACTGTCACTAGCCAGAGCCAGTCGTCTACTGACAAAACAAATGCCGTGACTCAATAGTGCAAAGAAAACGAAGTCAAAAGAAAGACTATTTATCCAGAGGTCCCATTTTAATTATTTATTGTTTATTCCATACCTAGTTTAAAATATATTTTAGTATTTTATTTACATAATAAATTATAAACAAAAGAAATATCTGATATAGTGTACAGATCTGTATCTTGTTCTTTTATTTTCCTATTGTCCTTTTTGTCATTCAGTAACAAAACAAAACAACACTTCTGATCGTCTGGTTAGGCATTGTATGGTCACTATTTCATTTTTTTTTAAAGTATCAAGTATCAGCGAGTCTACAAAGAGGTTAGGCCTAAATATTTTATAATTTTATTTTATGAAAGTTTTCATCAGTAAAATTATTTTTTTCTTAGGTTAGATAGAGTTTCAAAAAGATATTTCTAAGATCCAATACAATATTTACAAGACACAAACTACCATGAATTAATTTCTTTATAAATTATCTGTAACAGTTTTATATTTTTGAATAAAGAAAATATATCTTTTTGTCTCTACTTCCTTGTTTCGTTACTTGCATTTTGTCAGCAATTGGAACAACCAGGTGGTGTAATAGGGGCGGGGGAGGGGGAGGGTCTATGACCTTGAGTGTCCCCGGGCCTGGCTCGGGTTGTGTAAGAGGGAAGGGGAGGGGAGGGGGAGGGTCTGTAACCTTGAGTGTCCCCGGGCCCGGCTGTGAGAGTGATTCATGGTTTTTTGTTTACATTCTACTACCCTTCCTTCCGAGAAAAAGACCCTACGGTTTCAAAAACATTGACTTACAGTATAAAAACATTGAGTTGTGTTGCTAATTAGGGCACTATAATGTCTCTGCTGTCTGCTTATGTTGCCAAATTAGCATTTAACTTTCTTTTCTCTTGATTTAATATAATTTTCTATATATTAAGAGTTCCTTTTTGGGTACCTAATAATTGTGATATTGTTTGACTTGAGTTTATGGATTTTTAATTCTTTTCATTTATTAGCTAAAATCAGTTGTTTTAGGATCTCTTGCAATACCTATAACTGTGCCTATAACTGTGTATCTATAACTGTGTACCTATGACATGATATGCAATTTTTACAGTCTTTACTATAACTATACCATAAACAATGTTTGTGTGCTATTTTTACTGTTTTAGAGTTTTATAGTAAATTAGTTTACACAATATCTTTTCTTCAATGAGTTCTCCACTTGTCATGTTGCTTAGTCTATTACTATTTTAGGCCCTATAAAAAATAATTCCTATGTAAAGCTGTAGGCCTACTAATGCCAATAATAGATAATTCTTTATTTATGATGATGTAACTAATAATGCTATTGTAAGTGTGAGGTTTTTGTACTTAGGAGGTTAGGAGGCAGGGAATGAATGATTCATATTGCATGGTGGAAACATAGAATTTTTATTTTCTTCTTGCTTGCAGTCTTGAAGCCAGTCCACAGGCCCTAAACTTGTGATAAGGTTAATTGATTTGTTTATGATCCTTTTATATTAAGTTCCATTACAAACTTGTTGTAATATAGCTGTTTAGATATTTAAACAGTTATGAAAATGGGAAAGAATGGCTTGATAAAAAAAATTATTTTCTTCTTTCTTGAAGTTGAGGCAACTTCTAAGCTGTAAATAAGTTATGAACATGAAATAATATCCATAAATACATTTTTTTCCCATATGTTATTTTCAAGTAATATTAAAAACACAGATAGGAGTTAAAAAAATATAAAAAATCCGGTAATTAATAATTTTTGGCCCGAAACCCGAGGACCAAAATTATCGGCCCGACCCGACCCGACCCGAACCAAAAAAGTCTGACCCGCAGACCCCTAATTTTTCACTACAAAGACAATTTAATCAGAACGTTTATTGTTGAAACAATATTAAGCTTACATACGTTAAACCTGCCTGGGTAGCCGAGTTGTGCTTGCCTTCCAATTTCAAAGTTAGCTGTTCCATCACAAGCTGGGTTTATTCTTGAACTAAATACCATTGTCATAAATTAATAATGATCTCTAACAAAAGATCGACATTATATTGTAACAAGACCATGGTTTGGGCTGTTCCTTCTAAAAAAGTTTTTTTTTATACCACTGACATAAACAAAAATGAAATAGTTGTACTCACTTGTCTCTAGTAGTAGGTTGTGTGACACGCAGCCCCTGCCCAGGCGCTGGGAACGGACACTCGTACAGCTCGTGTATGAATGAGGACAACTCTTGCTCAGGCTGTCCGTGCCGCGACTCCAATTCTTTTAGGACCTAAACATAGTTTTATAAACTTACAAAAGATAAAAATCCATTTTATAGCTCCAGGTCCTTTTTCCAAATAGGCTTCTAAGCCCAGGCTTTTAAGACCTCCAAAGTCTTAATTTTCGGCAAAAAAATTGCACCGACTAGTTTTGTTAACATTATCAAACATTAAAAGAAATATAAAAAAATTGGTGTTTAGATAATAAACTGCAGAATGTTCAGTCAAATAAACTGGAAACACTGGTCTGGCATGTGAACCGTGCTTTTAATGGGAGTGTTGCTGAGGTCTAAGTCCCGGAAGATCTAATTAGACCTTCGACACACATTTTGCAGTTTGTACTTGTTGCTGAGGGTCTAATCTGGTAGTATGTCGAAGGTCTAAGTCCCGGAAGGTCTAAGAGTACAGTCAATGCAAAAAACTCATCCACTGATACGGTTTTAGACCTTGCGGGATTAGACCTTGGGCACACAATGTATATTTTGTAAATAAATTATTATAAAATGAGAATTGCTGAAGGTCTAATTCCCTGAAGGTCTAAGATTCGAGTCCCGGAAGGTCTAAGATTCGAATCCCGGAAGGTCTAAGATTCGATTCCCTGAAGGTCTAAGATTCGAGTCCCGGAAGGTCTAAGATGCGGGCGGGCATTGCGTCGCCAGAGATGAAGGCTATACAAGCAGGCAATAACGCAACAACTTTTAGAGTTGTAATATTCTTAGTGATAGTTTTAATAACTCTCACGTCTTTTTTTGCTAGCTCGTTATTACAAGTACGATGGAGAAAAAAAATCCTTATTTATATTATGTCATTGACTATTGGATACTTTAATTTTTGTTACTGGCATAGTAGATGGGCCATAACAGTTGCTATAGCTCAGAATAAATCATTACATCAGTTTAAATTGGTAATTAAAAACTATTGTGCAATCGGCATAAATAAGTTAAATAAGTTCGGCAGAAATAAGTTAAAGTTGATGTTAAAATAACATCGTTAGTTTCCTTGGTGTTTAGGATTCTGTTTTGTTTATTTCAGCTTATCTTAGCCAATAAATAGTTTCATCCATTGACTTTATACCACATTATAGTCAATGTTTCATCTTACTAATATTATAAATCTAAGAGTTTGTGAATTTTTGCGTGCGTGCGTATAAGGCCGGTTCCGAGGTCCCCGCTAGTTTCGAGGTCCTGGTGCAGGACATCGGATCCAAATACTACCGAAAACATGTTCGATGCCAGAGAATAATTTTAATATCAATATTAAGTGATTTTGAGTTAGACCTTGGAACCTTAATGGAAGGTTTAAACCTTCTTCACGGTATTTCCGATAGGAACGTAGCGATAGTTTTTACATGTACACAGTGTGACATGTGACATAAAATGACATTCTCCGCGAAAACCGATGTCCGTGTCCGTTTCCCTCACATATAATGTATACACTATACACCCTCTGATACACCCTTCAACTGGAAACAGAGGCTCTCCTTTAACCCCCACCTCCACCTCTCTACAAGATGACATCGTATTTCAGATATCATATCACTAACGGCAGTCGGAGTCGGCAGTCCGAATGGAATGAGAACAGTTGCTATTCAAATTCAACACCTCACGAGAACGTTGTTTCCAAGCTGTGCTCGCTTGTTTCCTAGACGAATAGCAGTAGTAAAATTAAAGAACAAGTATCTTGGTTCTATTATACCTCATAACCGTAATTATTAGTACTCACGTGGGCCTATGAATGTTTATACATTTTTGGAACGTACTACACATTAACATAGCATGTAAACATGAGTAAACAGTTTTATTCATACCATTGTTACTTAAGCAAATTATTCCGATACCCAAATATAAAAAAAATAATTACAGTATTAAATAACACTGGTGGCTTGTAGGAACATAAGTCCCTAAAAAGCTCCAATGTAAAACAATTATTGTATTGTTTAAATAATCTCAGAATCATATTTTCTTCAGATATCTCAGTACATCACTTTTTTTACAGTTTATTGTTTTTTTTCTTTATGATAAAAATAATGATAATAAAAAGGCTTCCCTGATTGAAATATTGGAACTTGTCATCGTCAAATATGAAAAGGTGAATAAAGGTTTGTTGAGATAAGCTTAATTCTTAGTGGAAACCGCTAAATTAGCACACCGACCCTGTTATTATTTCTATGTTTTAGGACTACGCTCATTTTGTAAAGGTTTGACAAAATTAGTGTAAAGTAAAGGCATCCCACTGACATAACTTAACCTTAAATTTGATTCTGTTTGACATTACAAAAACTACTATTAGTCTAGTGTAAATATATGTGGTGGTAATCTAATCCTCCTAAGGTGCAATTGACTTTACATATTCTATAAGGAAAATGCCTAATCAAATTCTGATTACTAACTATTTTGCGACTGGTTAGGGTTTCGTTAGACCCTAATATAAGACTCTATAGTTGATGATTTACTTAGAAAGTATATGCCATTGAAAAAGTTTTTATTCTTTGAATTTCTTCTCTAAAGCTACTCATTTAGGAGTTACAGTGTGTTGAAACTAAGAAAAAATTACGTGCCGTGTAGAGGCCTACATTCGACGCCATGTATCTCTTAAATGAGTAAGTATAGAAATAAAATGCTTAGGGTAAAAAAGTCTTAAAATTTCATCTACAGTCTAAAAAGACCTTAAGTTAAAAAACATAAAAGATAATGATCCCATGGCACAAAGTTTTAAAATATTTTATGGCCTTTTTAGAATATGGAAGCAATTTTAAGACTTATTTACTCTTAGCATAAAATATAGGGTCTTCCATGATATAAATCAAAGTTGGGGGCCGTATTAGAAAAATGGTTGCTAAATTGTTTTTTTTTTAACTTTTTCTAAAACTGTTTGAATAAAAAAATCTAAGACCTCTCTCACACGGTCATGCGGCGTTGGGCTATAGGAGTTTTTATATAAGTTTTTTTCACACGATGTCCGTCACGCGCCTGCGGTCTGACTGACGGCGAATTCGCCGAACCGCACGCGAGTTACCGCCGGATGCACCTACGCCGTCAAGAAGTCTACGCCGGACGACTCGTTAAAGGGCTAGTTCGGCTGCGTCCCGAAAGCCACGAATGTTTATAATAATAATAATATAATAATATATCTTTATTGTCGTTTGGTAATATAAACATTACAATAGACAAGGTCAACATGTTTTGTTACATATGTTATATAAAATATTAAATATTCTACAGAAAATGTTAAAATAAAGTTAAAAGAATCTTAAAAGGATAAAGCATCAGTAATAATAAAAACTTTGAAATTAACAGGGAAAAGACCATAACACGAACAAAGAATCATCAAGACTGCTTGGCCTCACATTTAAGCGTTGAAAAATCTACATTCTGCAAAAACTCCTCGACTGAATAAAAAGCACGACTTGTAAGCCAGTCTGATAATTTTGACCTATACAAATGAATACTTTCCTGATTTCTAAAATATATTGGAAGTTTATTAAATAGTTTTATTTGCAAGTATTTATAACTTTTGATAAATTTTGATAGCCTGGCTTGAGGAATATATAAATCTTTTGATTGTCTGGTGATATACCCATGGATTGAGTTGCAAGGAACAAATTTATTCAGATTCTCTTTAACGGAAACTAAATTGTAAAAAATGAAAATATTAGAGAGTGTCATGATTTTATTTTCAGCAAAAAATGCTTTGCAACTAACCCTATCCGGAATTTCAAACATAATTCTGAGAGCCTTCTTTTGCCATGTAAAGACCCGGTGAGCTCCTGAGCTATTACCCCACAGTATATTGCCATACAGCAAGTGTGAGTGAAATAAACTGTGATAAACAATTAGAAGTGTTGGTTTAGAAACACAATTTTTAAGTTTTCTTATCAAACAACATACTCTTGACAATTTTGAAATGATATTATTGGTTTGTATTTCCCAAGTGAGTTTAGAGTCTATGGATATTCCGAGTAATTTGACAGAAACTGCATTGTCTGCTTCAAGATTACGCAAAGTAAAACAATTTTTTTCTGTTTTATCATGATTTATTTCCAGAAAATTACTTTCAAACCATAGCTTACCCAATTCAATGGCGTTTTCTATGCTTTGGTTTGCAGAGTAAAAGTTGTCATCTGATGAGATGAAGGTTGTGTCGTCAGCATATAAAATTGTTTTGCAAGGTATGGAGTTTGGCAAATCATTAATATAGAGAATAAACAAAACCGGACCCAGTACCGACCCTTGAGGAACCCCAGCAAGGACCTCCTTAAAATTTGACCTATCTTTTCCTAAATTAACAAATTGTAGTCTTCCACAGAGGTATGATTTAAAAAAATTTAGTTCGTGCTCCATTATTCCATAAAATTCTAATTTCTGCAAAAGAATTGTATGTAAGACCGAATCGAAGGCCTTACTGAGGTCTAAAAGTGCCACACTAAGATAACCACCAGATTCAAAACTATCCAAAATATCAGACACCACCGATTCTATAGCCAAAGTAGTTGAACGACCCGGTCTGAAACCAAATTGGTTATTGTTTAAAATATTATTTAAGTTAAGAAAATCAAAGATCTGGGCTTTAGCACAGGATTCAACTATTTTTGATACCACTGGAACCATTGAAATTGGTCTATAATTTGAAATAAGAAATTTATCTCCCTTCTTATAAAGAGGGATTGTTTTACTGATTTTTAAGCAATTTGGAAAGGTTGAAGTAGAAAACATCATATTAACAAGATGAATCAGTGGTTCCATAATGTAAGGAGCTATGAATTTTACAATTTTGTTTGAAAAACCGTAAGCATCTTCACTGTTTGATGGATTAAGAGATCTTATTATTTTTTTCATATCATTCTCTATTACCAATTTCCACAAAAATTTATTTCTAGAACGATTAGCATTATTTAGAAAATTAGAGAAATCCAAACTCCTACCTTGCTCAACATGAGCCTTCTCTACTACCTTTTTTCCAACATCTATGTAATGGTTATTAAAATCATCTGCTGAAAAAGGTGGAACGGTATTATTATGTTTGAAAAAATCCCCACTTTCTGATTTTACTATTTGCCAAGCAGCCTTACATGTATTCCTTGAACTGCTAACAAATTTCTCATTATAATTAATCTTAGCCACTCTAATCATAGTCCTATATTTTTTCCTATAAACTTACAGAGTTCTCTTTAAATCATCATGCTTTGCTAAATTAGGCATTTTTGTTAAATCTGCAAGAAAAATAACAGTATCTCGAATTTCCTTAGAGATTCATCAAACCATTTATTCTTTAATTTACTCTTATAATCATGCCTGATTTTCTTAGATATTCTAGGACAGTTCAAATTGAAATAATAAACAATAGTATTTAAGAAATATTCAAAAGCAGTGTTTACATCTAGAGTATGAAAAATAGGCTCCCAATTTGCATTACACAAGCTCAATGCTAACATGCCAAGGTTCTCCTCATTAAGTTTACAAAAAGAAATTTCTTTGAGTACATTTGGTGCTATATTTTTAATTAGCCTATAAGTTTAAAAAACAAAATGGGATGATCAGATATTTTATAATCCCACACCTTATGAGTGAATTGATGTTGACTATAAGCTGGCTATATAATTATTATAACTAATAACTATATAATAATTATTATAATTATTATAATTGTTATGGCTGTTATTATGACTATAAGCTGGCTGTTTTATTTATGCGTCTCAAGCAAATTCGTAAGTCCAATCTGAATCCGCCGTGATATAAAGGTTAGAAATATACGTTTGAGCTCTACTGTTTGTTGGAAAATTGTAACGCCTTTAAATGTTATTAATGCAGTTCTAAAAATGAAAAACTCAAAAAGTGATGATGTTTATGGAATGTCAAATAATTTACTTAAAAATATTATTTATAGTTTACATGTACCTCTTGCTAATTGTATAAACTCATTGTTAGAAGCTGGAGTATTCCCAGACTTGTTGAAGGTCTCACGTGTTTGTCCAGTCTATAAGAAGGGTCCAAGAGATAAACCCCAAAGTTATCGTCCTATCTCAGTAATTCCGGTAATTGGTAAATTAATTGAAATCTTGGTCTTTGAACAGGTTAATGAGTATTTTGAGGAGAACAACTTGTTTAATGTATCCCAATTTGGATTTAGAAAGGGAATGTCCACTATTGATGCTCTTGATAATCTAATTCGTCAGATTCATGGGGCATTTGAAAATAGGTTATTTGCTCAGGGCACTTTTTGTGACCTGAGCAAGGCGTTTGATTGCGTTGATTTTAAAATTCTTATAAACAAATTACAAAATTATGGGTTTCGAGGGCCATCTCTACAATTCTTTTCATCTTACCTAAACAATCGTAAACAAATAGTAAGTATTAATGGCAATACGTCACAAGAAAAGAATGTAAAATGGGGCGTTCCCCAAGGCTCAGTCCTTGGTCCACTTTTATTTTTAATTTATTTTAATGACCTTCCATTGGCAGTAAAGAGTCAAACTATTCTTTATGCGGACGATACAACATTTTTTCATGTAAACCCCAACCTAACAGAACTAAAAAATCTTGTCCATGAAACAAAGCTAAAAGCATCAAATTGGTTTAATGCGAATGGATTTTTGCTTAATGAAGAAAAAACCCAAAACATGATTTTTACACTAAAACAAATCCCCACTATGAGTGATCTAAATAATAGCAAAGCTGTAAAATTTTTGGGCCTTCAAATTGATAATCAACTCACATGGAATGCTCACATAGATTATTTATCTTCAAGATTGTCTCGTGTGGTGCATCTTTTAGATCGGCTTGTAAATCAGGTTCCTAAGAAATATGTAAGGACGGCCTATTTTGCGTACTTCCAGTCAATCATGAGATACGGATTGGTGCTTTGGGGTGGTAGTGGTAGAATAAAAGAAATTTTGATTCTCCAAAAAAGGGCTTTAAGAGCTATGACAGGGACGCACCCTGATCATTGCAAACCTCTTTTTATAGATCTGCAAATTCAAACTGCAGTTAATTTGTTCATTTATGATCTGATTGTTTATATATTAAAAAACCCTGAATATCTTCAATTTAATAATCACAGTCACAACACTCGTTTTAAAAATACTGCGCTATTAGAATCCCATCGTCTTAGTAAAACTAGTAATTGCCACATAATTTTATCAATTAAAGTATATAATTCAGTAAAAAATAATCTAAATTTTCATTCAATTAACAAATTTAAGGCTATGTTTTATAATTATCTACTTCAGAACCCTTTTTATAGTCTGGATGATTATTTTTAACTGGGAGAAATTGTCCTTTAGTTTGGTTTTAATTTCAGTTAAGAATGTGAATGGAGTTGAATGTTAATTGTAATATTCAATAGTATGTTTATTTTAAGACTTGGTTTAAAAACTGCAAATAGACTTTGTCAATGATATGTAAATGTATCCTTATGGCAAATAAAGATTGATTGATTGATTGATTGATTGATTGTTATTTTATTCTACTGCCTGGTTATCGTTAGTGTACTGTAGTTGTTCACAGCAATAATTAATTTCAAGCAAATAATAACTCTAGATCAGCTATTACCTTAGATACCACGGTGAAACCTAAACCCTGTCCTCACAGGCCAATGATGAATTAAATATATTAATATTTATTCAACAAAATTGGTTGTTAATGTGTGACGGACGATTACTGAAGTACTGAAGTTCAAGTTAGGGAGAATTAACCAGCAAGAGCTTCGGACTGCTCACTCTAAAAATATCTTCTTTGAGTGAACCATCTTGGAGTGAATGAAACATCTCGATAATTACAACTCTAAAAGTTGTTGCGTTATTGCCTGCTTGTATAGCCTTCATCTATGGCGACGCAATGCCCGCCCGCATCTTAGACCTTCCGGGACTCGAATCTTAGACCTTCTGGGACTCGAATCTTAGACCTTCCGGGAATCGAATCTTAGACCTTCCGGGACTCAAATCTTAGACCTTCCGGGTCTCGAATCTTAGACCTTCAGGGAATCGAATCTTAGACCTTCCGGGACTCGAATCTTAGACCTTCCGGGAATTAGACCTTCAGCAACTCTCATTTTATAAACATTTATTTAAAAAAGTTACATTGTGTGCCCAAGGTCTAATCCCGCAAGGTCTAAAACAGTATCAGTGGATGAGTTTTTTGCATTGACTGTACTCTTAGACCTTCCGGGACTTAGACCTTCGACATACTACCAGATTAGACCCTCAGCAACAAGTACAAACTGCAAAATGTGTGTCGAAGGTCTAATTAGACCTTCCGGGAATTAGACCTTCAGCAACCCTTTTAATGACAGCAGGTATATAACTACTTGATCACTTTGAATACTTCAATTGTTAACTTCCTTGAGTACAGTATATTTTATCAGGTAAACATCTCAAAACTAGCATTGATGAATGCATCTAGGTTTGTAATTGATTATATACCAACAAAACATATATTTCTACAGCCTAGGCCCTCTAAGGGCCCTATGAGTCAAGAGGGAGACCTCACCTGAGAGAAGTAGTAGTTTGCCTTGTAAGGGCTGACAATACAATATGCTAGCGGCAGACAGATGGGGGCTCCCTCAGGCTGTACTCTGCGACAGTAGCCGTATTTGCGTGTGCCACTAGAGTGAGTGATGACCACACAGTAACAGCGGCTAGAATCGTCTTCTACACCAGCCTGGGGCGGCCAGTCCTCGGCATCAGGGAAACACAGATATTCTATCCCTCCTGGCACCTCCACCTGTCAAAGTAGTATATACAAGGAGTGTGTAAGATACTATCTGGAGAGCTGGTCTAGTAGTAAAGCTTGTACAGTGGAGCTTCAATTATCCTAAGCTTGGTCATCCAAAACGTCAGTTGACCAAAAGGCAGAGACAGCAAGATATGCTCACAGATATTGCCACAGTCACAGGAGACGATAAAAAACTTGTAAAAAATTACACGGAAACTGTAGTAATAATTTTAAAGACTATCAAGCTAAGTTAAAATATAGTATTGTATTTTAAATTTCCATGGCTAAATAGCTATGTGATAATGCTAAAGGAATCGGTGTATACCCCAGCCGATCAATGTATTATGGCCTAGCCTAGGTAGTAATTTGTAAAATGGTTCTATGCTAGAACCTAGAATCCTAGGGTTGATGGTAGAACATAAAATATCTGTATCTTACCTGTGTGTATATAGATATATGTTGATTGGAAAATATGGAATATTTAGCTTTTATACTTATACATTTTCAATGAAATGGCGACCATACAAAGTAGGTATTTTAAGCCAAGTATGAATGGAGATGAGTGTATGATGAGTGGCGCGATCTTGTAGTCTTGTTAGTAACTAAGGCCGACTTATTCCTTAGACACAGCTGTTAAATAACCCATACAGCTAATGGCAACTAAGGGGCTTACAGTTTATAGTGGAATCCGAACCACATTTTTGCCTTGGTAAATACGAATTGGTCTAATTTTCAGGATAGTCGTAGTACTCACTCGTCCGGACGTTAATCCACACCAGGGAGTACCGCATCCACAATGCATGCCTATAAATATCCACAATTCGTAACCTCCTAGTAGCTGGATTACAGGACGACGCCACCCACCCCAGTTTTTGTGAATAAACACTACTAAATGTAAATAAAGAAAATAAAAAATGTTAATTTTACCAATGAACTAAATCACACTACCATCAATAGTGTAATTAGATAGTCCTGTAGTTAAAGGCTAAATAGTGCAACAGAAAACAACTGTTAAAAGTTATCTACACTACACTCACATCTGCTGGATATCTGGCTTTTATATAAGGCACTTTACAGCGAGAAGAGTTGAGGTTGAGGCCTACGAGAAGTAAATACTCAAACAGGTGAGATTCTGGTACTATGGACGGGCGGTGGAATGAGCGAGCTCGGCTGCACACTCGTTTCAGATAAGTCTTGCGCTCAGCAGTCCTCTGTTGACGGTGCTTTTGAGCTTCTTCTGTGGGTAAAAAATATACTTAAGTATTGCTGATCAAATAAAAGATAATGAATTTGCTTTTTTTTTACTTCCTCTCTCGATAAGTACTGGGCCAACGAAAGGAAGCCAACAAAGTAGGTCTAAAGTACTGCAAATTTGAACTAGGGATCTGGACCAATAAGATGGCAGCTGTCGTGTTTAAAGTCTTCAATTCTCCTAAAATACAATCAATTCAAAAAGTATATTTTTAGTAACATTGATGTATCCAAGCTATGTTAGGTAAGATGCTGGATCAGTCTGAAGCCCAACAAACATCAAAATCAAGGAGGCAATGTTGTGGGTTTGTATATTAAATTCGCCACTTTGTTAAACTGTTAAATATTCTACTCATTATGCTCATCCCATGCTCTTGTAGATACGTTAAACATTCCAGATATTCCACAAATTTTATTATTAAATATTTTTAAATCTATCAGGTTTATGGAAAAATTAATAATTCCATCATCATTATTGAAACAGTGATTCACATATAGGTACATGTTAAAGCTAAATAATATGAATGCAAGATTGGAAGTGTTGCTAGACTAGTGGTTAGCATCTCGAACATGGCGGAAAGTATTGGTTCAATTCCCGGGATGTCCACAAACATTTATTGGGTTTGGACCGCTTTTCCTTAAAAGTGTTTGTGTTACCTTTTAGCGAATTTCCCATACAGGGAATAAGCTATTACCGTAGTACTCATGGTAAGACCTGGACCCGGGACCGATTACATTTTTTGTTTTGAGGTCCCTAGAGGCCAAAAACACCATATATATATGTGTGTCCGTTAGCGCGATAACTCGAGCAAAAATGATCCGATTTTTATGAAATTTGGTACAAACGTGTAAGCCTACGTTTATTCAAACGAGTTCACGAACCAGCATAATCAGACCATGGGAACGGGGGTTTATGGGGGGTTTTATGGGGTAATAATAGGGTTTTCCCACTTTTGACCCTAAAAACAAAAATTTTTGCAATTTCTTTTTAAACCGTTTGGTAAAGCTTAAAAAAAGAAATATTTTGGTACAGTAGAACTCCAATCATCTGAACTCCAATTAACCGAATCTCCGATTATCCGAATCGCTTATTTCAACAATTTTAATAATGTAAAGCTACAGTAATAATAAGGTTTGGAAAATATCAAAGAACGCAACTCTTTTGCAATTAAGAACAAGTTTAGAACACTTGTGCTAAGAGCATTGTATTCTGTAAAATGTTCTGATTCCATTTATTATTAATTACAAATTCATTTAGTACCGGAAATGAGGATTTTTCTTGGAAATTCCCGGATTTCCTGTAAAACTCCGATTATCCGAATTTTTTACTATCCGAATGGGGTCTGGTCCCAATTGATTCGGATAATCGGAGTTCTACTGTATATTGAAGCGCTGTTGTATGCCTAACGGTCACGGAGAAAATTAAAAAATAGTGTAATTTAAAATTCCTATGTTATTCTTATGGAGAAAATGAAAACTGTTGTAGTTTACTTGTTTATGGATATATATTGATTAATAAAATTTGGCAAATTTATTTATTTCATTCTATAGTGTTGACGTATGGTCAAAAACACTTTTTACCTTCCCCGTAGCAGCAAACTTAAGCACTCGTTAAATGTAATGTTGTTTAAATTGGGAATATTTTAGTAAAAATGTAATCAGACAAGTTGAAATTTGCTTAGTCTGCAGGTTTGCAGCGGCGGGGGTATTTTTTTTAAATTAAGACACATGCCGTACCAAAAAAAGAGTAGAATGAGATAATCTGTGCAGCTTCATCAGTGACTTAAAGATCAGTGGTATCTGTAACCAGGATGATTTATAAAGTCCTAATGACTAAAGACAGTCGTGTCCAGTTTCAAACCAGCAACAAAGTACAAATTTTCTGGGTTGAAAAGGGTCTTGAACAATGGTGAATAAATAAGTAGCTAAAATAACAGTGATCAACTAGTTTCCTTGTTTACCTGGTGAAGATATTTTGGGAGGACAAGAGTCGTCTGGTGTGGAGGCGACAGATTCCGAATCACTGTCTTGAGGCATTGCGAGGCATTTGCTGTAAACCTCGTTTACCATTTTTTGAATCTGTCAAACAAAATTATTTATTCAAACACTTTTTGAAAGTTACAGGTTGAATTAAGGTTAGTTCTATTCTAATGTGTAATGTTTTTTTTTAATGTGAAATACTATAACTTAGAGGTTGTAAGTATTATAATCATATATTTTGATAAACTTGGTTTCAACAGCTTATTTAACAGGTCATTCATTAACATTACTGTAATTCCAAAAATCATGTGATTAGTTTCATTAGATATTGAATGAGTACTTCAAATTAACTAAAATATACTGCATAATATCTACTGCAATAATGTCTTTAGGGCCGTTGTACTATAAAACATTCAACATCAGTCGAGTTTTGCATCATAATTAACATCCTTTTTCAGAATCGGTATTGAGTACAACTAAGCGAAGTATCGAGTATCAGCAATTTTTCTGGTATTGAGAATCGGAACCAGCACATCTCTATTTTTTTCCCAATGATACTACACTATGTGATACACTAATGATACACTAAGTGTTTACCAAACTTACCTTCTGGTTTTCAATGTTGAGGTCTCCATGAGAAAAGTCTAGGCTGTAACTTCTAGCAGACGAGTTCCTAGTGTGTGTATTGTCAATGTCCAAACTCAGACTTCTAGAAGGAAAACTTTTTGCTCCACTTTTTTCAAACAATCTCTTTTGAGCGACAAGACTTTTTTCAGGAGACGGAGTTTGGGTTGGACTTTGCAGCAAAGGCACTTTCTCCCAGACCGGGGAAGACTGAAACAAAAAGTTATACAGAACTAGCATACAGAAAAGTTGGAGACATAGCTAAAAAACAAATGTCCAATAATAAAATACTTGATTTATAAAAATGTTGGTGTTGGGATTAGGTAAAATTAAATGCCAATAGTTGCAAACCCGACTTCTCTGTAATTCATATATTTTATAGGGTAAAAATTTCTGTGTCATCTAGTAGGAAACCTTAATCAACTAAGTCTAAAAACTATTATCCAGAGTAGGCCTAGAAAAATGAAACCCCCGAGGCAATAAATCCTATAAAAGTGATAACAAAATCCTTCCCATTGATTGTTGTAAATTTTAACCTCTATACATTAACATTCTGTATTTTTTGTACAGGCAAAACAAAGATTTATTTGTAATCATAGATGCATAAATTTGCAGACATAACTTTGTATGTCAATGATTTTAAATGAATGCATTTAGTCAATTGCCACCCCCCCCCCCCCCCCACATACATAGTCTGGAGAAAGTTTTTTTTTGTCAAGACCAAAAATTTAAATGGTATCTCCAGGCGTTGTTTATTTTTATGATTTTTTTTATTGTGATTTTCAATACCTCACAAAAGAGCTCCCTTATTTTTTTTTCCAATTGTCATTGAAATTTATAAAAATAACTTTGCTTAAGTATAATACTTTAAATCCTGAAAAAGTTGCCCTGTTAAAAATGAACTGTAAAAATTAATTTAGTTCTAAAGTAATTACAATTTTTTGCACAAAACCCATACAATTACATAAAACTGTACACCTCAGTATTTAATTATTTTAAATTTGTGCTCTTAAAAGTTCCGTTGTACAACTTTATTTTTTTTCTCTTTTTTTTCTTTTTTATTCACCATTAAGTAGGCCTAATACATGATTACAATAGGCTTAATCAGTTATTCATTGAAAGACATTACCAAGATTATAGTAATAACAAAGTAAAGTCTATATATTATATTATTTAAAAAGCAAATCCTGGTCAGCCAACCACAAAGTAAAAGTAAAATCAATATAGATTAAAAATAGTAACAACAAAATAAATAAACGAGTCAATAAAACGTTTACAACAACAAGACATTTGAATACACATAGTAAATAAAGGACCCAACACTTAGTTCTAAAAATTCCTTTATAGAAAAAAAAATTGTGACTAATAAGCCAATCATGAATCTTATTTTTAAATGATTTTAATTCTAACAACTTATATGATTCTGGAATTTTGTTTAAAAAAATTATTTGATGATATTTGTAACTCTTTGCAAACTTTTCTAGTCTTAAGATTGGTAAAACTAATTTGTTTGAATTTCTTGTTTGATAATTATGAATGTCACTAAAACAATAAAAGTCTGTTAGCCTACTTATAGGATGTTCTATTTTAATTTCAAGGCAATGGGAGAAAGTATGTGTCAGTTTGCTGTACTGGTGTATATTTGACCTCTTTTTGATAGGAAGTGTATTGAGTTTGTTTAGAATATTGAACGGTTTAATATTTTTATCTACATTTTATAGTAAAAAATAGCCCACACTGTTTTAGTGTTCTAATAAAGTTGAAAAACTAATCACCGTGCTTGATACCATCAACAAAAGTTATACAATTGACAACTATTAGAGTGGTGATGAATGTTTTATTTTATCGATACCATTTAACATACGCACCTAGAGGTGTTAACAGTATAAAATACTACAATTGGGTTTATTAAATTAACTAAGCCTACATGTTTTACTTACATGAGACATGTTTTGAAATCACTTGAGAAGTAAAATGTACAACCTTGATTTGAGAGAATGAATTTTCACAAGTATAGAAGAGTAAATACAATAAAGTCTTATCTGCTATCAGTAAACATCAATTTCCTACATTAGCATCTAACCAACTTTGATGTATTACCTTTTTGCATCAATAGATTTATTAGATCTTAGATTTATTGACAATATTAATATCTTACAAATGTTATCTAATGTTCTTTTATAGGTGTTTATGTGTGGATAATATTTTCAATTTAACATTAGTAGCCTATAAAAAGGCTTATATTTTAACTAGATTTCTTTCAAGATTTTAACCAACTCCCTATATTGTTATATCGGCTTTAGTTATATATTTGTTTATTACACGGTAAACACCATTTTTACAATAAATACACCAGTGACAAGCTACATGACAGATTTGAATACTTATGGCCTATGGGCCTACAAGTTCAAAATCATTAAAAAATATCTGACCGAAATTTAATTATAAAACCAGATAAATCCCCTCGCAAACCTTCCAAGCAAATCAAATTTTTAATTGTTTTATACAAAAACCCTCATTAATTTGAACCTCTTTAAAACAGAATTTGCTTATTCTGACCGGTAAAATTCAACATTCAGTTCATAAACCTCGTACAACTAAGTCAGAAATATGTTGAGTAGCATGCTGTTTAGTAACATGCAGTAAAACCTGGCAATATTAAACGTGATGTCGGACACTCATATTTGTAACTAACTTCTAAATGGTAAAATTGTCATGGTTGTAGGCCTAACTTTAATTCAAGCAGGTCGAAAATAGTGAGGGTCTGACTTAGGCGAACAAAGAACACAGTGCAACCTCACTAACTCGACAAGTTGTGAACGCAGAGGTTTTGGAGTTTGGGATTGTCAAGTTATCCAGAACGTTGATAGCCTATTTTTAATGGGTTTTAATAAATAAATACACTACCACCTAATTTTTACTTAAAAATGTATTACTTGCGTGTGTATTTTTATATATTTAGTTTTATTACAATACGGTATTTTCAAAAAATTACAAATATTTAGCAGTTAAAACTAATGTTCTAAAGAAATAACTTGAAAGTCAAACACGCTAGAGAGACAACGCTGGCTAAAAGTGAACCTTGTCAGCCGCTGACTTACTTAATACTTGTAGGCCTATGCTAAGTCGTTGACCGACAATGTCGAATAGACTGCGTCGATATATACATTTAAAAATATAATACTACTATTTACATACATACAAAACTTAACCAGGCTGTAGCGGTAGATAAAGCAATTAACACAGTTTTGGGGAAGGGATTCTAAGTAACTCTTAGATGCTCTTCACTCAGCTCCTCCAACGAGTACATTTGCCTATTGACTAGGCTGTTTCTAACTGCCACTTTGAAAGAGGTGATGTGCATCTCCCAAACCTTAACTGGCAAGGTGTTAAAAAACCTTATGGCTCTCATGGGTGCGGGTGGGACGACATTGCGGCATGTCAAGGTGTAGTACTTGCCGAGTGTCATAGCGAACGTTTGAGTTACACAGACTGTTGAGTTCCCGGATGTCAAGTTAGTGAGGTTTTACTGTAGCATCAACTATTTCTGACAAATGCTAGAGGCTGTAGTCCGTATAGCGTCTATAGAGTCATACCTACAGACAATGCTTTAGACAATTAAATAAAAACAGCATCAAAGCCCTCCAAAAACAATATCCCCATCAGTGCTATGAACTTAATTGAGGTTCTTATTCTGAGACCCTAGAACATGCTGCTGCCAAGACAAATATCAACCTTAGTTACCTTATAGGGATCAAGTTATTGGATCCAAACAGCTGCAGCGCCAGTTAGACCTACAGTAGGCTTTTGCTTGCCTAAGAAATATACCTAGACACCATTTCCGGACAAGAATGGTATTTACAACAAAGTAACAAAGCATTGTCTATTTTGCTCTTTTGAGTGTTATAAAGTGGATTACCTACTCTTGATAGTTTTATTTATTTAACCATCCTGCTTTTGTTGTTTGCTTGCTCGTAAAGCCCCACAACCAATTAAAACCCCTCAGTGTCTGAGTATCACACTGTTAAATGAATTGATATTTGAATAATAATTAAAGTAGGCCTACTGATCTTTCAATATTCTAGTTAGCCGACATCACATTTCAGTAAAAAACATCCTTTAAAAACATAATAGAGACATGCTACCAACTGGTTTCAGACGAATAAACATTTTTGGGTACTTTCCTGTTATAGGGAACAAGGGAACATTCATTATTATCGATGATTTTTTTTCTCGATATATCGATATTAACAAATTGAAACATATCAGCTGACAACTACGAAAAATATTGTTCAGTATCAACAAACATTAATGAAATGAAACTGTTATAAAAAAATAACCTAACATAACTAACCAAACTTGCTGTAACATTTAAAAATTCCGTGTTTATAACTTGCCTTTTATATTCAAACCCAAACGAAATTTTTTAAATGGTACAGCAAGTTTGGTTGGTTATGTTAGGTTAGCTTAGAACAGTTTCGTTTCTTAATCCATATAAAAGACTTACTATTTTAGCCTAAACAAGATCAGTTAGTTGTTGTCAATTTGCAATGGATCGGAAAACAAAAACATCGATATATCGAGAAAAAAATCATCGATAATAATGAATGTTCCCTTTAACAGGAAAGTACCCATTTTTGCTTCTGGACTTGTCAAACAAAAGCCTATTTGACCAATAACCACTAATTGAAACAAAATAATTCATAACTTTTAACTTTTATAGTAAAATGAACAGAAAATAATAGGTACTGTACAAAAGTTTCAACCAATCCCTATAAACAATTTTACCTGATAAAACATCTTTGAAAAATTATGCTATAGCCTATCACAGAAAAGTAAGAAACAGAGGATATTTAATGGTACACTAAAGTGGTGTCTTGCACCAGTAACTGGTGTCTAGAGCAAATTTTATTTGTAGTCCTTTCCCCCTTGCAATCACGTATAGTTGGCACAGAACGTAGAGAGACACCTCTTCAGGTAGAACGGGCCGTCCTAATCGGTCCTAATCCTCTGTTTGCATACCCCTAGCCTTCGTTCGTGGCGTTCACCCCTGACTGCCGGAATTCCAAGAAAATCTGCGTCTCACTATAATTTGCAATCAATTTATACATTAGACCTACATAAACGAATGACGGCTCATTTTTTTCGTCTTACCTAGACAAATAAAAAGCAATTTTAATCACAGTTCTACGATGTACTGTTGCCGAAATAACGCAGTTTTCGCCTAACTTACTATAAATATTGCCGAGGGCTACTGAAAAACCCGTAATCTATGAGTCATGTTGTTGGTATTTTGTTGTAAAATCTGGTTCAGTTTGTTTGTTGTGTTGAACAAGTGAACATCGCTGGGATGTGGCGTCCGTGGTGTAGTGGTGACAAAGCGAACGTTCACCTGTCGAAAGTGCGAACGATAACTCGGAGCAAGTGAACGGCCCTGTTGAAAGTGATTTGTCGGTAAAACCTCATATTGCTGGACGGAGCAACCACCTCACAAAGGGGAAGCTGCGATTCAAGCTATGGTGCGCTACGCCGAGGAAAAAGGATCCAAGAGCCCTGTAGCAGATGTTGTGAAAATTCTAGGAGTTGCAAGGAGTACGGTACAACAGGTTAAATCAAAGGAAATAACATCTCCAAAAAAAAAAAAAAAAAAAAAAAAAAAACTATCAGTCATTAGTAAAAGATTTAGGAGAATTGATGATTTCCAATGGAAAATCATACAAAGAACCGTCTACGAACAGTTTGCTAAGTCAGAATCGCCGACAGTTCGATCCATACTAGAAATTTTAAAAGATAAGGATCCGGAGTTTGGCTACTCTGCATCTTCATTGAGAAGCATGTTAAAATTACTCGGGTTCAAGTTCAAAAAACTAGATAGACGAGGCAGAATAACGATGTCGCACCGCATAGTTCTTTTGCGCGACAAATACCTCTTCAAGATACAGAAGTTAAGGGATGAGAGCCGTGTTCTTGTTTTTTTGGACGAAACCTGGTACCTTACTGCGTTATTTTGGCAACGGTACATCGTAGAACTGTGATTAAAATTGCTTTTTATTTGTCTTAAGTAAGACGAAAAAAATGAGCCGTCATTCGTTTATGTAGTTCTAATGTATCAATTGATTGCAAATTATAGTGAGACGCAGATTTTCTTGGAATTCCAGCAATCAGGGGTGAACGCCACGAACGAAGGCTAGGGGTATGCGCAATAATTCGATTTCGGATGAAGAGCTTTAAGGTCTCGACCTGCCCCTGTTAGATAAGATAAGATAGGGGTATGTAAACAGAGGATTAGGACCGATTAGGACGGCCCGTTCTACCTGAGGAGGTGTCTCTCTACGTTCTGTGCCAACTATACTACACCGCTCAGACTGTAGGAAGACCCTGTGCACTACAATGCTGCATGGCCATCGCCATTCGGGCTCTTCCTGGCTCGTTACTATAAACGGAGCTATAAGCGTATGGTTGTCTCACAAGATTTGCCTCTATATCTTACTTCTCTGTGGCTAAGTTATATACAAAAATGTGTGCTGCAAGTTACTTACCATGTAATGAAGAGGTTGAGTCTTCTTAGAATCAAAATTTGTGCCTCTGACTTTTTTTAAATCAAGCTTTTCATTAGAATTCAGGCTCTTTACAATTTGTAAAACTGAAGGTCCCTTATCACATTTTAAGTTCCTTACACGATTTTTCAACAAAGGTTTTGCATAGACTGGTTCCGCAGTATCACTCAATTTGATTTGTCCATATAGGGACGAGCTATTCTGAAAACCATTTTCAATTGAAGTTAGAGCTGGGGCAACCTTGTTTCGAGCTAAATCTTCCAAATAAAATTTTGATTTCCGTTCTAGTGGAGTGTCATAAATATGTGATGTTTTCAAGAAGTCCATGGAATTAGAACAAGATAGAACTCCAAAACATCCATCATTTGAGCTAGTTTTATCATTCGGAGAGTCTGGCAATGATGTTTTACGTACAGCCGGAGAATGAGAGTGAGCTGTAGTTTTTAAATTGAGAGACGTTTTACTATTACTGTTCATTGATTCTTTACTTAGTGAAAGTTGTTTTTTCTCAGATTTCGGTTCAAGAATTTTTCCCTGTGTTTTATGATTGTGTAAAGCCATTTCAAGTTTTTTTAGCATAATTTGAGACTCAGTTTTAGATCGTATAGGTTTTAATGTGCATGATGAATCAATTTTACCAAGATCTAAATTAATGTCATCTGTAGATAGCCTAATTGAAGAGGTTCCACTATTTATGTCACAAGATCTTTCTGTAAAATGAGCAAACGTGCGAGGAGGCTTTTTGGGAGGTGGTCCAGGAGGTAAGGGTGTTTTTAACACCTTTTTAAGGGTGCTTGATAATTTATCATCAACCTTGCCAGACTCGTCAAGGTTGCTGACAGTGATATTTGAAACATCTGTGATATGTTTTTTACCTGGCTGAGTGTTTTTAATAATTGATTTTGAATCGTTCCTTTCATTCAATATATCATCCTTAGTGTAGGAATTAATGTTAAGAATATTGTGTGCAGAACAATTGGGTTTGGTTTGGGGAGAACCCTGTTTCATTGAAGGATCTGTAGAATCAACATCAAGCTTGAAAGCCTTTGGTGTAAATTTTGCTGTTGGTTTGCTGGAATTAATGTCTATTTTTGAGGACTCATCAGCTTTAATGGAAATAAAGGTATTGCTAGTACTCCTCCCATAGTTTGTTGATGGCCCAAGTTGAGACAAACATTTGTCAGGACAATCCAAACTATCATTGCAGTTTAAATTGCGGTTAATTTTATCAGACCGGAAGGCATGCGATCGTTTTATCAGCCCCCTTGTCGACGACCTGTTGTTTGTGTTTTCAAAAGTTTGTTTTGCTATCCAGTTTGAATCATTTTCTCGATTAGACCTTACCACAGAGGTAGCAATTTTTTGTTCTTTAGATGCATCTGTCAAACCTTCAAACTTCTTCTTTATATCGTACACACGGGAACCCATTATTTAAAAGTGGCAATAAGCTTGTAGCTAGTCATGCAATAAAACATTGTGCTGTAATTACTCAAGCTCAAGTGAAAAGGAGCATTATACATAAGCTTTGTTAGAAATAGGTAGTATGTTGCTTCTTTTAAACAAAGACTTATGCCAACATGTTTGTCTAGAAAAACATAAAAACACAAGAAAACTATTTGGAGTTATGTTCATACCTTGGAATTGGGAGTTTATGAATAGGCCTAGCGTAACAATATTCTTAGGCTAACTTTAAAACAACATTTTTGTAAGATTTGCTCATTCCAAACTTTAATTCTTGGAGTTATCATACTTAACTGTTCACTAATTACTTGCAAGATATTTGTAGTAACTATTAATTAAAACAATCAACCACTCAGATAAATTAATTCTCAAAAGAAAATTCCCCATCACTCATCCAGCCAAAACTGAACCAACAAACAACAAACAAAAAACAAAACGTCAAACCAAACGATGAACCGACAAGGCGACAACCGATGGATGAACGAACGAACATTATCTATGAAGAACTAGTTGACTTGACATTAGAAGACAGTTGGACAAACACCAAACATTTTATGCAATCACATTTTACATAGCTATGATTAAGCTTTTGATTATAAAATTAAAATCAAAGAATAAGTAAGAAAATTAAAAAAAAATATATAAGATATTATTAAAATTGATTAATTTTATACTGTTGATACAAATATTGATTATTATATCCTACATTTCCCTAGTCTATTTTACATATAACCTATGCTATGGCTATAACCATTGACTTTATAACTAATACATCAATACATGCATAATCTTTATTAGTTGTTGAAAGGACTAAAATCAATGTTAAATCTTTAAGGGCGAAATTCGATCCCCACGTAACATAGGTTTAATGGTATTCACCCTATGCATTTTTCTTTTGTTCTGTTTTTGTAATGTGCTTGTAGAAATATATTAAACACTAGCTGTGTACCCGTTCTACGCACGGGGATCTTATAATATTCAGTTGAAACCTTCTTATATAAAGAACAGCAGTTGGTTTGCATATTTTAAGATATGCTGGCCAAACTATTATACATAGCTTCATTTTATGTTGTTTTTTGTTGTTCCGGATCGGTATGACAATCAATAAAAGGTTAAATTACCTCTGTGTCTGCCGGTCGATCCTATAACGGTAGGCTTACTTTTATTTTTACTATCTGATCTCGTTTGCATGGCTCAATCACGTCCTGGTTGAAGTTCGTTCGCTACGCTCACTCACCTGTATGTTGGAGCTCGTTCGCTGCGCTCACTTTCCTTCAGGTTAGCTCGTTCGCTACGCTCATTTGCCTTCAGGTTAGCTCGTTCGCTACGCTCACTCGCCTCCAGGTTGCAAATTAGCTGTTGTCATAAATGTAAAAGAAATAATAGTGCTAGTGCTGCACCCTGTTGGTAATCCTTGTAACTTTAATGCTATTGAACATCACAGAACAGAACCAACTTGTTTAATTGAAACAGCTGTTAAGATTCAATAATTTCATTTCTCATAAGGTTAACATGGGCTTCCAGAAATTCCACGTCAAAAATCGACAAAAACTTGATTTTCAAGGGTTTACTGTTAAATATCTAACTGTCTCATATTCGATGAAATACGTCTAAAACCATCTCATATATGTATAGTATTTGGAAAATAAGTTTCAGGCGGGACAGTGCTATAGTTATTGAGGAGTAGTTGTAATAAAGTGCGTATTTTTTTAGCGTTACCAAGAGAATGACAGATAGACAGACAGACAGACAGACAGACAGACAGACAGAAATTGAGATAAGGTTTGATTCGGTTTCTCTGACCTATGAAATGTAAAAATAACCAAAAAGTTCATTATTCTAAGCAATGTACAGACAAAACTCTAATTTTATTTATATAGATATGTTCGATACGACTCTTTTTCCATTCTAGTTTTATTATGCAAAACCGTAATTTTAATTTGTAATTTCCATTAGATTAGATTTGCGTTGGGCGATCAGCCACGGCCACCTCTGAATCAGCTGATTTACTAATAATATTAGTTTGTAATTTATTATGAAATGGGCCCAAAGACGGCCGTGGTTGCAAATAATGATAAAAAATTCTTAAGTTTCACACTATTTACAATGAAAAAATATAAACATTTGTAGAATTCTAGAAATTTTCAAATTGTGTTGTTGCAGGGAGGTCATGGATTAAATTATTTTTTTTCTTTTTTTACCCAACTGAATTTTATTTTTAATTTTGGAATGAGAGTACTGTAAGTTCTTTCTTAGAGTAAAAATATTACCGTTTAGAGTCCCCAACAAAGCTAGCAGCTATCGTCCCAAGCCTTTGCTACATTTAAGCTACATGTCAACCTACAAGGCCCATCATCCTGTTTTGCCAATCGAGTTTCGAGTTGTCACTTTTAATTGTCAGTTTGTTCGTTTGTTGTATTGTAACTCAGTGATTGTAACATAGGTCTAGTCTATTGTATTTGGTATTTTCATTTTGTTAAATGTTAACCTCTTAAAACCTGTGTGTTCGTTAACCTATAATCATCATCGTAATAATTTGCTCGTTCCGTTTCGTTTAATAACAAAACGGAAAACAAAACACCAACACCAACCATCCTGCGAATTGTTAATTGAGCACCATTCTTTCATTTATGTGTTTGTCATGTGTAATCAGTTATGAGTTATGTATACTCACAGTTGAAATAATCATTCCAGTTGTGAAGGGTATGGTGTATTTATAGAAGGTGAGGAACCACTTTACTCTAGGCTATTGTAACTGAATTAGGCCTATTTCTAATATGCTCTGGTATAATAGGTATTCTAATCCACCTTAATATCCTTCGAAAAAAAAAAAAAAATAGGCTACATACTTAGCTTTCTTCATCTTTGACCAACGAGGTTGGATAGATTTACATTCGGATAGATGGATGGATATATAGATGGGTACACATCCAGGGCCGATTTACCGAATAGGCACGGTCTGCGGTGTAGTGTTAGGGTGAAATTTGTGGCATGTCTTGTGTTTTATTTATGTAGTTCATCATGTCTTAACTGTTGTGAGGTGACTGCATGCAGAATGGTTTCCTGGATGTAGAGTGAGGTTGCTGTGAGGATTTTTAGTTGTTTAAAAGATTCCCGGCTGCTTTCTTGGTAGCGTAGTCCTGCTAGGCATCTGATAGCTGTTTTTGTAGGGTAAGAATCTTTTCCATATTGGATGCTGATGTTCCTCCCCATGTCACTATTCCATATCTTAAGTGGGTTTCAAAAAGAGCAAAGTAGGCAACTTTAGCTATCTCCAGGCCACTTATTTGTTTGAGCCTTCAAATTACACGGGTACCTGACGAGAGTTTCTTGCCAAGTTGGTCAATGTGTTGCTTCCATGACAATTTTGAGTCAATTGTGATACCTAGATATTTGGTTATGTTGCTTGCTTCCAGGCTGGGGAGAGGTGCTAAGTTTGTACTTTTATTTTTTGTGTTAAAAATAATTTGTACTGTTTTGTTTTTATTTAAGACTCATTGTTAATAGCCTACAGTAGTGTTTAGCTTGGTTGAGGCATGCGATCATATTTGTTTCAAGCCTTTCATTAGTAGCTTTATTAGAGATGGTAAGCATGGTATATCGTCTGCGTACATTATAATGGAGCAGGCATCATCCATGCAGTTTGGCATGTCATTCGTGAGGAGGAGGAAGAGCACTGGCCCCAGTACAGCTCCTTGTGGAACCCCTCTTTTTACACCAGTTGTTGGAGATTGGATTTTGTAGTTTATGTTATTTTGGGTGTGATTTATTTCTACCAGTTGCTTTCTTCCCTTGAGATAGCATTCAAACCATTCTGCTTCTTTACCTCCTACTCCTAGTGCCCTTAGTTTTGTAGTAGCTGGTCGTGATTGAGGCAATCAAAGGCCTTGCTTAAGTCAAGAAACAGGCTGGTCACTGAGCATCCTTCCTCCAATTAGTCTATGATGTGTTCTGTCAGCTGTATCAGGGCTGTTGTTGTTGATCTACCCCTGAGGAATCCAAGCTGTTTATTCGTGAGTAGGCTATGCCGTTCAAGATGGTTTAGGAGTCTAGCAAGTAAATTTTTTTTGATTTTTTTTAGAATGTTGGGATCAGGGATATTGGCCTATAGCTGCTAGGTTCACTTCGTGGCCCTTTTTTATATTTTGGGTATATTTTAGCTGTCTTTAGAGCGGTTGGAAAAATTCCTTGCTGTAAGGATTTATTTATTATATTAGTGAGTGGTAGGTTAGGTTAGGTGTTAGGTTACTTAATGAACCGAGTTGTTAGTTCATGTTATCTCCAGACTTTTTTGCACAATTAAAACACTGGGGAAAATATAATAATTTCAAAAATGCAAGCAGGTTTTAAAATACAATTACAAATAAGTGATGAGCCAACTTGTAGACAATAATAGGCCTACCTCATTTTGCCTGGCATCTTTTGGAATAGGTATTAAATTCGAAACTATTCTTGAAGTTTTACAATTATTTTTTATGAATTTTAAATTTTACAGATAATTGATCTAATACTTTTCGATCATGGACGAAGATTATGAAGAAGAGAAGGGTTGGGAAGGGGATATGGGAGAACTGGAAGTAAGTATTTTTGTATTTGCACTTTGTACTTAAACTATGGCCTAAAAAACCAGTGTTAGTTAACATCTAACATGGTTCAATCATTATTTAAAATTTTGTAAAATCTACCAAAAGTCTATTCTAATATACTAATAATAGGCTTTAATAGCTAGCTACCTATCTCCAAAATACAAAGTTGGCTAGTAAGTAGCCTACTGTAATAAATAATCATATTATTATTAGCCTATAAACTTAGTATGGGAATTTACTGTTTATTGAGCTTTTCTTTGTAATTTGGCAAACAACAACACTTAAATATATTAAATTATTTGTTTTTTAAGCTTTATAAAATAATTAAAAAAAGTATTATGTTTTTAGGGTAACAACATAATACAAAATGTGGCGGAATGGGAAAACCCCTCTGTTTCTATAGTCATGCTGGTTCGCTAACTTGTTTGAATAAACGTAGGTTTTCAAGATTGTAGGCCTACATATCAATTTTATCAAAATCATGTTAATATTACTCAATCCATCGTGCTAACAGACTTAGGTATATAAATTTTTATGAATGGTGTTTTTGGCCTTTGGGGACCTTAAAACAAAAAAGTAAATTGGTCCCAATGCCTATCATGAGACCTACAGTAATATACTGCAGCAAAAGTAAGTTTGTTTGTTTTCCAGTCAGATGGAGGAGAAGATGGAATGGAAAATCCGCAGGAAGTGCTGAAAGAATGCTTAGAAAAATTCAGCACTCCTGATTATATTATGGAACCAGGAATATTTTCCCAACTGAAAAAGTAAGTTTAGTTGTCATGAAAATGATGTTTCAGAACCCGGGTT